CCAATGGAGGGTCTGGCAACAGTAGCGGAGAGCGCCATTGGTCGGCGGAGAGGGCGGGCGCGCTGACGCCACTTCATTAAGGCGAATGTCGTGAAAAAACACCATCGTTGCTATAGATATGTGTGTTTAAATGGGAGGGCTTTATGGGAGTTACTGTTGCGGTATGGATTTTAGGTATATGGTTGTTGTATTGAGGAAATAAGACGATGATCCGTTTAGGTACTTAACCTTAAATAGTTTGTGGAACCAAGCTTTAATTGTTGTTTAAAATCATCTAACTGATGCAAAACAGGGCAGATTTTTGAGACAACTCCTCGCATTAGGAATATATCCGGTGTCGCGGGGACTTTACAAACATACATGATACGGACACAAAGAACACCCAGACTCAGAACAACAATGGCGAGGTGACCGCTTGAACCACAATGCTATCAGCGCAGAGCCTGTAATTTTTAAACTAACAATCTGTGGAAAGGATTATCGTCTGCGGTATTTACGGACCGATACGACCTTCAAACCTTCAAGAAAAGAGCGTACTCCTTCCTAAAAGGCCGGAAACGCGTTTGTGACTCCTAAGTTGCAGACGTTCTTGGGCAGCGATGGTCACTTTTCATCAGGTGACCCGTCTGCTCGTCTGCCCCCTCTAACATGAAAAAAACTACCTAAACTGCTGATAAACATAATTATGTGCAGAAAATTCTTTGACCTTTATTCAAAAAATATGGTGGGCTGAGCATATCATACCAAATTGAATTGCTTAATAGAAAAATTAGAAATATAAAATTCTTCTTCTTCTTAAAGGTATTTCTTTGCCTATAACATAATGTTACTTGTTTATTTATTTTTAAAAGGGTCGGCATTAGGAATATATATCTTGTGTCGCGGGTGACATTACAAACATACATGAAACGGACACAAAGAACACCCAGACTCAGAACAACAAATTGTGGAACACACAAAGTGGTATCCTATATGTGGATCGAACCCACAACACTCAGAGCAGTACGAAGCGGCGAGGTGACCACTTAAACCACTGCGCTATCCGTGCAGTTAAAGGTATATACTTTGATCTGTCATAGTACAATACGGAATGTCACCACCCCTATTCATCTCGTGGGTGTCGTAAGAGCCGATTATGAGAGCAAACTACGCAGTGCAACAGCATTGTAAAGAGAAGGAAAACTTGACACAAACCCTATACCAACCCGTCTGGTCAGCGTGGTATAGTAGGTCAAAACCTCCTTTCTAAGGAGAGGCCTATGTCCAGCAGTGGACTAGCTAAGGCGGTTGATAAAAAAAAAAAAACATGTACACATATGACGATAACATACCTATGTTAGGTTATTATATCATACCTACATAAATAACAACCAGAAACCGTTCACATCAGACAATATTTGTTATGAGTAGGAATCGAAATCACGACGTCCAACTTAGAGGACAAATCAAAAAAAGGAAAATCAAAAACTTTCTTGGGTACAGGAGAGAAAACGAGTGAATTAGTCACCTGATGGTGGTAGACTAATGAGTCACAGTGCGTCGCTTTTTGATCCTAAGGGTCAGGGGGAGAGGAGATTCACATCAACAGCCTTGAATAGTCCACTGTTGCATATAGGCCTCTCCTTAGAAAGGAGGTTTTGGCCTACTATACCACGCTGGCCGGTACTGGCTGGTATAGGGTTTGTGTCAAGATTTCCCTGTCCTTGCAGTGGTGTTTTCCTGCAGAGTTTGCTCCCTCAGTGGGCTCTTACGACACCTACAGGATAAATAGAGGTGATGACACTACGTATTCTTAATCCGTCACCACATGGAAAATGATTTTAGCGTTGCGTGTCAGATGTCCTAAAAATATTGTTAAATAATATTCCATACATACATTTTATGTTTTGACCCCAACCCTCGCCCTTGACACAGCTGATAACCTACTATCCAGAGGGAGCCGGTTACTTCACTCCCTCGTTGAAAAGTAACAAAAGAAGAGCTAAACGCCGGTTCTCTGTGACTGGTAGAGAATGCCTTAGGCATTAAGTCCGCCAACGCACCAAATGCGCACAATGTGTAAATCTATATATATATATAAGAGATTTCCACGTATATAGTCACTCATCACGATATCTCTGGAACCATTAGAGCTAAAGACTTGAAATTTGGTAGGAATATTCTTGTCACCGAGTAGAGGTCAGCTAAGAACGGATTTAAAGAAATAAAAAAAAATAATTAAATAATGTAAATAGCAAAACAACGTTTGCAGGGTCAGCTAAAATTATAAAAAATCTAGGTTACATTTTGTATTTGATTTTCATCTTATTGTCATTAGATTCTTATATAAAGTTTGTTAATAAAGCTAACATAAAACTAGTACATATCTGACTATTCTAAAATATCAAGATTGAATATAAAGAGGTGAAAACAAAATATAAAAAAAAATCTTTTGCAGAAGTTAAAATTCTCGTGTCACAATGTTAGTTACCATACTCCTCCGAAACGGCTGGACAGATTTTTTTGAAATTTTGTGTGCACATCGAGTAAGTCTGAAAATGGGCCAACATCTATTTTTCATGCCCCTAAATGACAAGGGTGACCCACCCCTAATTTTTTTTTTTTATATTTCCTAGAAATAATAAATACCTATGGCAAAACAACGTTTGCCGGGTCAGCTAGTAAATAAATTTATGCCGCAGCATGGCACTACCACGGAAATCGAAATAAAACACACGGAAACTTGCCTTTCTGCATTTTCTCGGGCCAGATATTTTCATCCGTCCCCTAAGCTGAGGTCAGCGTGAGACACACACATTCGTTCATTTCTACGTCTGTGTGTTTGTTTATGTGGGTGTGTGTGAATAGGTCGGCAGCGGCACAAATGACGGCGTGTGACACCGTCATGCTGACGGTACCGTCTAATCGTAGGGCATAGCATGGATATCCCTTTATTAGGCACGAAGTCGTCGCACTGCGTTGAAGTTTGGATGGCTGTTTATTACAATCGAGACTTATTTAAGTGATTATGGATATATTATCTTATTATATTATATTGTGGAGTTTGTATTGTAGGCCAGTGTAGGCCAAAACCTCCTTTCTAAGGAGAGGCCTATGTCCTGCAGTGGCTGGCTGGGCTATAGGCTGTTGATGTGATGTGATGTGATGTTTACTATTGTGTCATTACTGATTTTTATTACCTAATGTTAAGACTTAACAATTAATATTATTGCGCATTTGAGTCTAAAAGAATGTTTTCTTAGTCTAATACAAAAATGTTTGCACGCCACTGGTAACATATGGTTGAGGTTCAATGTACTGTAACACCTATCATGTATTACCCATGTTTACAAAATGAAATATTCTATTCTATTCTGGAAGATTCTTTTTGAAATTTGCAACTGAGATATGTAGATTATAGGCAGTCGGGCATAACACAAAGTTTTTTTTGTATAAATCGACGTTATCGTTAGTGAAACGGTGGGTTAAAGATTCTCGCAAATAAAGTGTAAATCAAAATGATTTCTAAAATTAAATCCCAAATTGGTTATACGTTCAAAATCTAAGTAATTAATCTTCACTTTAAAGACTATTACAGCCTGTTGATGATGATGATATAGTTTATAACAATAATATTCACACAACGCCATCTAGTCCCAAACTAATCAGAGCTTGTACTATGGCTACTAGACAACTGTTATAAATCAAATCACATCACATCAACAGCCTATAATTGTCCACTGCTGGACATAGGCCTCTCCGTAGAATGGAGGTTTTGGCGTACTATACCACGCTGGCCAGGTTGGTATAAGGTTTGTGTCAAGTTTTCCTTCTCTTACTGATATAAATACATTTATCCTTTTTTTTTCGTAAATCCATACATTTTATATATATAGAAACACCCAGACCAAATCAAACATTAAATGTTCATGCACACAAATGTTTGACTTGAGCGGGAATTGAACCCGTGACCATTGGATTAGCAGTCCGTTACACAAACCACTACGCCATTCGGTCGTGTATACGATGCGCGATAGTCAACCGCTAGTTTGTTGTTTCACCAATAAATACAACACGTCCACAACATAACAAAAGATGAGAAAGTCAAACTTCGACATCTTTGTGTTGTTGGCGCTTCGATACCGTGACAACCGCACCGTACACAGTTTTATTTTTATTTTATTTTATTTTATTTGGGACAATAAACAATTGTACAATATGTTTAATATTAGTAGAAATAAATAACAGTAATTAATGCATAACCAACTTAGTTATCCACGTTTTACAAATTGAGTCTTAATTACACCGTCTTGTTCTAAATTGGTATATTTCGTAATATTCTGACAATAGTACGCTTAAAGTTAGCGGCAGACAGTGCGAAGACGTCAACAGTTTCAAAGTAGGTATTATAGGTATTAGCTGGAATATCGGGGCGCGTCGCTTAGCGTTACTTCGACACGGCGTGGTATTAAACAGGGGTCCCGGGCTTACTGCGCGTCTTCGCACTGTGCGTGATACACTATATTGTCATTAAGATCAATACAATCATATTTATTATGACACAAATTGTATAAAGTTACTGCTCCCAAAAGCAGGCATCTCTGCTGCAGCGTTAGAATATTGTATTTGCTAAGAATTTGTGTATACGAAGGATAGCAAGTATAACACTTGAAATGAATGCTTCGATAAAACTTCTTCTGCACTTTTTCCAAAGAGTTTTTATAGAGATAGTTTATCTTGCTAAAGCCCGTCAAATACAGTATTTAAGAATATTCACGGAGGTATATCCACTCTAAGCTACCGTACGGTCTCGCTGACCAACAAAAACATAAAACAGTGGGTAAGCATCGGCCGACGGTCCGTTCCTCACATAAACTCGTATTTTTTACTCTGTGTGCTGCAAGTGAGGTTGATCGAGAGCCGTCAGCGCCCGCTTGTTCGACTCAACCCTTCGCTGCTGGCTGTTTATTGTCCCAAAAAAATTAGGTGTTATAAGTTGTGTGTATTATTTCTAATTTCGTATGTTTCTACTGCATGAGCGCTGGCACTACTCGCCACCCTCAAAGGCTGACCCTGAGGACCAGTGTGACCAAAACGTTCCATCAAGTGAAATACCCGAGAACAACCGAGAACCCAAAAATACCTTTGAGCAGACATCGGTCATCTCTGTCTGTCTCTTGGACTTAGTAAGTCCAAGGTAACTTGAGGAGTTATTTATAAGTAGACTCAAAAGTGTGCCAGATAATCCAGATTTGTTAACGTAGTTGGTAACTAACACGGGAAGCTGATAAAATTTGTTAGAAGCATGTAATTTTAACTGTTATTATTATTTCTATAGTTTTATATCAAATATATTAGCTAATAAAAATAATTATTTCAGTCCATTGACTTTCTAATTTAATACTTTGTTTTAAAGACAGTAAAAGCACCAAAAGTGCATGATGTATAAATAAATAAAAGAAATTACTTTAGGCATATTAACTTAGTATGCTTAAATTATAGATTTAAACATACTTAGGGGACAGTAACCAATATTGAACAGGCGCTAAAATTGGACCACTTCTGTATTTCTACCAAAATGGCACTAATTGGTATTGTATATTGGCACAAAAAGGAGCGCTACAAAATGGCGGAGTATTAGTGGCGCTGCCAGCGCTCCTTTTTGTGTTCTAGGGTAAAAAAATATTTCTAGGGTAAAAAAAAATAGTGCACCAGAGACTTCCTTTCTATGGTATACCTGGTTCCCCGGCTATTAGTACCCGAGACGGCGTGCGGTTTTAGTCGGTTCGAGTCCGACATGCCACCGATAGGTGGTATCCGAGTGGATTTCCGCACGAAAAAAAAAAAAAAAAAAATAGTGCCATTTTCATAGAAATACAGAAGTTTTACAATTTAAGGGCCAGTACAATAATGGGTACACACACACACACACACACACACACACACACACACACACACACATACACACACACACACACACACACACACACACACACACACACACACACACACACACACACACGTATAGTTTTGAAGAATAACCATTTACATAATTGTAAACTGTATTGATTAAGTTTTTAACAGCTACTCATCTTATCTACGATAAAGCAAATAATGTCACATAAACTGTAAGAGGAAGGCGCCAGTGTCTGTAACACAGTTAACACTATCATAGACGCTGACATTCACTCTGTCTCTAAAGAATACGTAACGTTGTATACAACTATGATTTTATGTTCGGATGAGATGGACAAAAAGTATTGGGCTGTTTGATTTTAATAAAATGGTTTCTCTCCCCTACATAACTATATTCTCACTACCCCTAATATGATATTTTATTCAAGGTACGTCTGTAATAATTTTTCTATAATTTACTTCTTCTTGTAGAGAGAATGAGCATTGCTATTCATCCTGACAGCCAGTCCTATGGAAATACTACCCGTGGTCGACTATGCTGAGAATTTTTAACGCTTTTATGTAAATTAAATATTGCATCCGTGTGGTGACGGATTAAGAATACAGAGTGTCACCACCCCTATTCATCCCGTGGGTGTCGTAAGAGCCGATTAAGGGACAAAACTACGCAGAACATCAGCACTGCAGAGAGAAGGAAAACTCGACACAAACCCTATACCAACCCGTCTGGCCAGCGTGGTATAGTAGGCCAAAACCTCCTTTCTAAGGAGAGGCCTATGTCCAGCAGTGGACTATTAAAGGCTGCTGATGTGAATATTGCATTTATTTTAGTTTTATTCTGTTACTGGTTATAATTAATTTACAAATGTGTGTTTATTATAATTATACACATTTTTTTAGCAAAAGATTTTAAATAAGGTTGTTTGACGATTATCATTGATTTAACGAAAACAACAACAACTGAAAAACTAAGTATTATGGAGTGTGGAAGTTATTAAAAACAACTATTTGTACACCCAGGCTTGTCTGATAAAAGTCAGATGATTGATTTTGTCTGAATTTTGTTTTTTAAATGCTATTGACATCTATATTCAGGAAGTTGAAACACTAAAAATTAGTTTACTATTTCTGCTATTACTCATTAGATGGCACTTAAAGTACTCATTACACAAACAATGACTAGGTAGTATGAAATTAAATTTTATAAAAAAACAATTTCTAGTGTTTGTGTGGTTTCTACATTTTAATTTATATCTCTTATTTTTATAAATATGAATAAAAATGAATGAATAAACTTTAGTATGCTCCGAAAATAAGAACTAAAAATTTAATTGACTACTTGCGCAAAATATTTTTAACTCTTTATCTTAAACCTTCAAAGTAACTGTGATACCCCACAAACACACAATAGTTAGTGAAAAAATAGAGAGATTCCTTCCCGTTCACTGCAACGTTTTTGTTATTTATCTAAATACTCATTATAGTATTTGATGGAAAATATTAACATTAATATTGTTTTTAATATTAACATTAATATTATTTATAATAATTATAATAGAATTGTTTGCGATTGGTGTTAGTTAAAGTCAGTTTTAGAAAAGTAAAACTCAATTGAGTAGATGTGCAAATAAAAACTGGAACACATAATTCTGATTTTTTATTTAGAAAAACGCCATCTAGTAGAACTAAAAACAGTGCATGTAACTTTTATGAGGGAATGAAATCAGAAACATGAAGATGGCGCTAGTGTTCTTCAAAACAGGATTCAAAAAGGAGGAGGCATGGTATGTTGCACAATAGCTTGTCATTTTTAAACCGATTAAATACCTATGTAATTATTTTATTAATTGAATTTGTTGTATTCCAGTTTTGTCTAATTAGATTTAGAAACAATACTCAACTGTACCTTATGCCTTAAACTGTACAGATGGTGTAATGGTTATACGGTCACCTCGCCGCTTCCTACTGCGCTACTTACGTGTCGTGGGTTTGATCCCTAAATGGGACAAAACTGCTTGTGATTCCCAAGTCAACTATCATTGTGTGCACAGGATATTTTCCGAGTGCGGAAATGTCTTAAACAAATTATCTAAAGGTGGAAAACCTGAAACTTATCGGTATCAGGCAGGGTCATCGAATTCCAAGCTATGCGGAGCCTGTACTATGGTAACCAGACTGCTGATAAACATACTTATATATTTCTAAATACATACATATTATAGATAAATTACACCCAGACACAGTAAGTAATAAATGCTGGTAAGAAAAAAACAAAGAATACTGTTTATTAAAATTTGTATTTAGGCGAATTTAAGTCGATGATACTCTTTTTTTATCGAAATCGGTAACCAAGGCAACCGGTAACCATCAAGAAAAAAATAAATAATCACAGAAATGTAGGTTGAACAATTCATGTCTCAAACAACTCCTGAATTAGGAAAAACTCCGCGTATCCCTGTGAAACCCTTAATACACTTCTATTTTTCTTTCTGTTAAAGGGGAGTTACAAACGAGCAGGCAGACCACATCACACATCACATCAACAGCCTATAATAGTCCACTGCTGGACATAGGCAGACCATCTGATGTTAAGTGACTACCAACACTTATTTTTTGCGAACATTAATTAACACCGGTTTTATGTGCACCTCTAACAACAACACCACTGTAAAGATAAGGAAAACTTGATACAAACCCTAAACCAATCCGTCTGGCCAGAGTGTTATAGTAGGCCAAATCTCCTTTCGAGGGAGAGGCCTATGTCCAGCAGTGGAGTATTAAAGGCTGTTGATGATAATGATACACTACTGTGTATGATAGGGGGGAGAAATATACCTGATTCTTTAATATTCATAATTGAATCACTGATAGGATATCCTTTGTTAGGCCATTGTAATAATTGTAAGAAAATGCCATATAATACTGTTAATAGACAGGGCAGGATTAACCATTAGGCAGAGTTGGCAACTGTCTAGGGGCCCCGCTTTTGCTGTTAGTTCCCAAGGAGTTATGCATCAGAGATGGAGTAATGTTATATCCGTGTAGTGACGGATTAAGAACAAGGAATGTCACTACCTCAATTCATCCCGTGGGTGTCGTAAGAGCCGACTAAGGGCGCATAACAACGCAGGACACCAGCACTGCAAAAAGAAGGAAAACTTGACACAAACCCTATACCAACATGTCTGGCGTCGAGGCCTATGTCCAGCAGTGGACTGTTAAAGGCTGTTGATGTATGCATCAGTGAGGTGATGCTACTAATGCTATTACTCACAACCCTTCATATATTTTTTCTTTCTTTTCATGTTAGAGGGGGCAGACGAGCAGACGGGTCACCTGATGGAAAGTGACTATCGCCGACCATGAAAGTCTGCAACGCGTTGCCGGCCTTTTAGGAAGTAGTACGCTCTTTTCTTGAAGGTTTGAAGGTCGTATCAGACGATAACCCGTTCCACAGATTGGTTGTGGGAGGCAAAAAGTGTCTCCAAGCACACAGTTTACAAAGACCTGAATCTTCAAAAAAAGAGCCCCCAGGATTGCATTGCCTAAAGGCCGAGGTTAATAAACAAATGGCGACCTGATGATAACAACCTCTAGTAAGCAACCTTAAGTTGGAGATAGACTATTTCTATTTCAAACCTGTATTTTTAGTTATGAATACTAACACAAAAAAACGACCTAAGTACAACGATTATACACTAAGAGAGCTCAGTTGAATGTACATTCAATATTTGTACCAGCATTCATCCTAGCTGCCTACCCATACAACACACGCAGTCACGAGGCTCGTTCTAAAACATTTGTGGAACAAAACACAAATATTTCGTAAAAACTGAACAACACATTAGCTGTTTACTAACTTGCTCACACAACAATGGAGGCTGGTACTACGATCATTTTATAAGTGCAACCGACCACCAACGTAGCGGTAAAACATGTGAGTTTATTTATAAGCCTCTTATTTAAGTTATTTTTCAAACTAAACTACCACCTCTTGTAATACCAATGACAAAAATATCTTCTTTATTATTCTTTTTAATAGTAATTCATTTGATGATTTCCCGAGGAGGTTATGCTATTCAAAAGAGACGCGAAAACATACCAAGAAATCTTGAATTTTTCGACTTTCTAGGGAAACGTTCTGTCAAAATAGAACGCCTATAAGTAAAAAGTAATTTAATGTTTATCTTCTGTATATAGTCTGGGATTCACCCGATGCGGCTGAAAGACACTTCTACAGAGCTGTTTCTGTCTGATTGCTTCGCTAGCAGATAGCTGGACAGGTATTACTTTCAAATTACATTATATAATCCTTCTCTCAATCAATTAAAATGTTAATCATTAAAACTACAATATGCTATGTGATTTAGCATTGTCTAAACGTAACTTGTCCGTGTGGTGACGGATTAAGAATACAGAGTTTCACCACCCCTATTCATCCCGTGGGTGTCGTAACAGCCGACTAAGGACAACAGCACTGCAGAGAGAAGGAAAACTTGACACAAACCCGTCTGGCCAGCGTGGTATAGCAGGCCAAAACCTCCTTTCTAAGGAGAGGCCTACGTCCAGCAGTGGACTAGTAAAGGCTGTTGTTGTTGATTAAACAAAACTTGGTTGTAGTATATTTGAAAATGATAAAATGATCAATTAAGTTTCCTTTCAGATACCTGCGAACATGGCACGTGTGTACATCAGACTGCTTTTTCTCACTTTCTACCTCATCCAAACTAGAGCCATGATGATGAGAAACGACGCCCTTATCTCCAAAATGGTCTCCAATTTCCAAAAAGACAACACACTAACTATTGAGTCTACACCTCGAGCGGAGATGCAGCCACAACAACCGAAGAACGTTCTATCTTTAATGCAAAGTGTTCTGTGCAAAAACTTCCCAACCATACCGTGTGATTTGATTGTGGAAGATTCTACTTTAAGGACACTGATTGAGAGGTCCATTCAACAGTTAAAGTACAAGAAAATGTCCATGGAAAAGACAACGTCGATCCCTGGCTACCATCTAACGCTGTTCCCGACGATTAACAGCGAAGATCTGTCAAACTTTCTTCAAGTGAGTGAGACAGGATATTACAGCAGTAACAACGCAAGACCAGAGAAAATAAGAGGACGGAAACATAAGAAACAGATATCGAAAAAGCAAGTTGAAGAAAAAGTTTCTAAGAAAAGAAGTAGTAAAAACAAGGACAGCATTCGAGCATCCCACTACCCTGGACACAAGAACATCAGAAAATTTTATCCTCACAAGATAAAGTACAAGGACAAGTCCGCAAAAGCACAGAGGGAAGCTTATAGGGATTATTCGGAGGAGAAACTGTCTATGTCTGTTGAAGCCCCTGAGATGAATTCAGGAAGAAAAAGAATGAGTTCTAACTACGACGTGGAGCCTTCGGACCCTCCGGTGTGGAGGATAGACTATATGAAGCATGGAGAGCCAAGTTTGAACATGTTCGCGTACGAACCTGACAGACTTAACGAGAAGTTGGTGAAGACCGGCCCTAACGTGATCGTGGCCGAGAGCATGATGGAACAAAGCCCTAGGAAAGATGTTCTTCACCCCGATGTGTACATAAAAAAGAATTTTATAAGAAAAAACGTAATCGCTATGAACTCTGGCGGAATAGATTAGGTAGTGTTATTGGTTAAGTTATGTAAGTACTCATGTAAGTTTGAAATATATGTTTATTTCGAGCATTTGTTTGTAAAACATTTCATACCAAGATTATACAAGACTCTTGCTCAATCTTAATCAGTAACAATCAGCATTTCAATTGTTATTGATGCTAGGTTTGTATATTTTAAGATGGTAGTTGAGACAAACCAAAAGAAACACTATAACGATTGATTATTTAATAGTAATTAATAAATTTTTGGTTGGATTAATAAGGTTTTGGCCTACTATACCACGCTGGCCAGACGGGTTGATATAGGGTGTTTCAAGTGTTCCTTCTCTCTGCAGTGTTGTTGTTCTGCGTAGTTTTTTCCCTTAGTCGGCTCTTATGACACCCACGGGATGAATAGGGGTGGTGACACTCCGTATTCTTAATTCGTCACCACACGGACCAATCCCCACATGGGACAACACAAATTCTTGTTCTGAGTCTGCGTCTACTTTGTGTTCGTTTCATGTTAGTAAAGTCCCGTCGAAACAGAACAAAAGTATCCCTACTGCAGGAGTTGTCTTTTTAAAAGAAATACATAGCACCGAAAGCCATCAAGTCATGCCAAAGAAATATACCTACCCCTGGCAGTTGGCACAGTCCAGTAATAAGTATTAACAGTACATAACAAAAATAGCGTCACTCCTTATCAAATTACAAACAATTCAAGTTCAAAATACAGTTTTATTATCTTTACGAGTACGCACAATGCATTAATAACAAACACTCACTCACACACATACACACGACACACGGAGATGAGAGAGTGTTGCCAGTTTATGAAAGTTTAGGATTACATCAACAGCCTTTAATAGTCTATTGTTGAGCATAGGCCTCTCCTTAGGAAGGATATTTAGTATAGGGTTTTTTCGAGTTTTCCTTCTCTTTGCAGTGCTGTTGTCCTGTTACTCCCTTAGTCAGCTCTTACGGCTCCCACTGGATGAATAGGAGTAGTGACACTCCGTATTCTTAATCCGTCACCACACGTCTAGTTAAGAATGTTAGTGCATATTTAGAGACTCATTATCGGTTTAGCCAACCGATGGAAGGAGAGGAATACTTCACACATAGGGTCCGGCTCGACTGCAGTGCTACCACGACCAAAACCGCTGTTAACCATTCTTTCGATGTTTGAGTGAGGTTACCTTAGCCCAAATCCCCCTCCCGCTGGGACTCCAATGGCTGCTGCCCTTGTGACTTTTGAGTTGCAGGTAGTTGCTTACCATCAGGTGACCATACCGTTATACCATAAAAAAAACATGAGTAAGTCAATGATACCCCTCACTTACGGAGGGGTGGGGAGACTTAAACTCTAACTAAACCAAAACGTCCATCCACAAATCTGACTCTTTCCCTGACATATATATTCTGACGCCCAAGTGCGAGTTTACTTCACTTCTACTCAATCGTCACGGTGACCGCGTTTGGCGCTGCGATGGGCCCGCACCGAAATCTCCACCAATCGCGCTCGCTGTCGATAGTGAATAGAAGTGAAATAAACTTACTCTAAGCCCTCAGAGGGCTGAGTGCAAGTATATTTCATATCGAGTGACGATAAAGTAGAAGTGAAATAAACTCGCACTTGGCCGACTTGCAAGTTTGCGTTAGAACTTATTTAAAAAAAAATAGTATTAGAGAACTCTAATACTATTTATAAAATAAATTCTACCGCAAACTACAGTACGAGTATATAAACTAAGCATGGCAACACCAGCAAACAGATCTGTTTTGTTTGTCGTTTACGAGGCACAGACACCAAAATGTCCCGGCCAGTGTTGTCAACCCACGTGTTAGATACTTCGACAGGGACGCCTGCGGCTGGTGTTTACGTTGAATTGCATAAGAAGTTCGGCTCTTCGTGGACATTATGGCACAACACAGCGACCTCCACAGATGGGAGAGTAGTATTCCCGTTCACAAATGATACTATGGCCGAGGGGACGTACAAATTACTGTTTAAAGTTGGTGATTACTACAAAACTCTTGATAAGGAGACGTTGTACCCTTATGTGGAGGTACGTTATCTTTGTTTTAATTATGATACTTGATAATACAGATTAAAAATAACACGTTTCGAATAAGATATCTACTATTTTAGCAATGCGTCCGCCTGCGTATGGAGTCAAACCTACATACTTAGTTAAATATCCATTGAAAATTTTATCTTAATTCCTGTAGCTATATCTATAGTGGTCCCAGTATACAAATTCATACAGTCGCACACATTAAGTCATTAAAGGTATTTTTACAACGTAACATAACAACAGGAATGAAAAGCTTTCTGTGACAACAATCACACTAAAAATAATAATATTATTATTTTTTATTTTTCAATGCTTTATTAATCAAAATTAACGAAAAGAATAATCTTTGGTGAACAGTTGAATCAGTGTTTATGTGATTTCTATTTGTTTTATAACTCGACGCGCTGGAGTCAGATGTGAATGACCTTTTTATCTGAAGTCTCGGACGGCCGAGCACGAGAAAATTAATTAATTTGATACACGTAGGTACTATGTTAGGTTACTTATTAACTTGACTTGGACTTGTAGTTATTTTATAATAATATTCTTACAGTTATTGAACTGACTATTGTAAGAACTCAGGAATATTCGGATTTCTTGGCCCTTATTTACTATAATAAATACAGTTAATCATTGTGAAACGGACACAAAGAACACCCAGACTCAGAACAACAATTTGTATATCACACAAAATGTCGTTCCATGTGGGGATCGAACCCACAACACTGAAGGTGGTACTAAGCGACGTGGCGACCGCCTAAGCCACTACGCCATCCGTGCTAAAATACTATATTACTTATAGGAAGCACATGAAATAATGACGAAGATTTCAATATTTCTTATTTAATTTAAGAGATTAAACATAATTTATGTAGTGTCAAAAGAATTTGTAAATCTATTCCCTCATAGATGGCAGCAGGTTTTACCAAAAATGTTCCTAAGTTATAAATTAAAAATCATTGCTTTTCACATTAAAAAATTACATGTTTTAAAAAGTAGATCACATCACATCAACAGCCTTTAATAGTCACATTCAGACATAAGCCTCTCCTTATAATGAAGGTTTTGGCCTACTATACCACGCTGGCCAGCCGGGTTGGTATAGGGTTTGTGTCAAGTTTTCCTTCTTTTTGTAGTGCTGTTGTCCTGCGTAATTTTCTCCCTTAGTCAGCTCTTAGGACACCCGCGGGACTAGTAGGGGTGGTCACACACCGCCTTCTTAATCCGTCACCACACGGATGATCATTTAAAAAAATAATGTGAATTCATAACTTTGAAGCGTCCATCTCATTTAGACATACATAAAGTATCTATAATATTTTCCGAACGACCGATAAACCGACCTCAAAAAAGAGGGCGTATGATTCCGAATTTTATATGTTTTCTTTTCCCCTTACTCTTGATAGTAGTCTCTCAAAAACTAAACTAACTAACGAAATAACTTAGCATCGGTGGCCTTTCAGCACAATAAAATCGGTCCATCCGTTTAGGAGTTCTGTCACTTACACACACAAAGAAGAATTATATATATATATATACATATATAAAGACTAGCTGACCCGCGCAACTTCGTCTGCGTCTCTCAATAGTAACAAATTTTCTCCGTTTTTGAAACATTCTTCATTGGTGCTCCGCTCCTATTGGTCTTAGCGTGATTACATATAGCCTATAGCTTTCCTCGATAAATGGGCTATCTAACACTGAAAGAATTTTTCAAATCGGACCAGTAGTTCCTGAGATTAGCGCGTTCAAACAAACAAACAAACAAACTCTTCAGCTTTATAATATTAGTATAGATTTGGCACGATCAGCTCAGACACGCTGCGCGAAAGCACAACACTGGTTTTCAGCTGACGCCTGACATTTGCCCCAACAGTTAGAAACTAAACGCACACAGATAACTCGCAGCACAATGATTATAAAATCCAAGTAAATAATATATAAAGTAATAATAATACATAAAAAATTACAGGAGTGTATATTACAAAAAAAACTGAAGTATTTATTGTAAGGACACAAAAATAGTGCTAAAATTATGTTAACAATATATGGCACAAAATGTAGGTCATAGTATTTCTCTACCTGCCCCTTCGGCGTGTAGGTATATAAACGATGGACCACAACCACAAGGAAGTATTTAGATAAAGTTCTGTGATAAGTGCGTGTGGTAATGATAAAAAAAATTATTATCTTATCACGACTATTAGTTCCCGGGCTTGTTGGTCCAGTGGATAGTGACTCATGACTGCTGGGCCGAAGGTCGTGGATTCAATTCCCAGACAGGACAAACAACTGTGTGATGTGCACGATCATTTGGTTTGGGTGTAATTTATCTACAACATGTCTGGTTACTATAGCACAGGTTCTGTTTAGTTTGAGATCAGAAGGCCAACTCTCGTAATAAAAGTTTTGTCTCAATACAGTTCCGATGAACTTTCGATCTCACAACTGTCATAAAAGTTATTTTCGTAGTAAAATAGTAAAGTATTACTAAGACTAGACTAATTTTCGGTTTAAATACGATATAATCACATTGCAGTCAACGTTGAATGTTTAATACTTCGATGGATCGGAACTGAATTGAGACCGAACTTTTATTACGAGAATTGACCTTATGACTGCGGTTTCTGAGATGTGTAAAGTAATTCTTAGGTCTCCAACCTTTTTTTAAATCCCTTTCTAAGGAGGCCTATGATCAGCAGTAGATTCCTAAAGGATGTTGATGATGAACCATTCAACATTTTGAAATCTGGTATATTTCTTTCTAAATAATAACCTACTCTGATTGACTGAATAGTATTTTTTTCCGTTATGATTTTTTCATAATATTTAGACCTAATGAAACCCTCCATCACTCAAATGTATGTGGTTACTTGAAATGGTGATGTCAAGGAGACAACGTGTGGTTTATAAATAAATCTTCATCATCATCAACAGCCTTTAATACTCGTAGTCCACTGCTGGACACAGGCCTCTCCCAGACGGGTTGGTATAGGGTCTGTGTAGTTTGGCCAGCCGCGAGGGGGCGGCGTCCGCGTGTGCCGGACGTCGCCTAAACAGAGGTTAAAATTTTGAGACGGAGCCCGCACCAGGAGCGGGCAGGCGCTAGGAGGGGTCCGGATGTCTTAATAACAGCTTTTCCCGGATCCCTCCTATTACAGGCGCAAAATGGCACACCGTGTAGTCGGTCCGAGTCCGACACACCACCCCGCCGCAAACCCCGGTGAGGTGACGGTCCGAGGGGATTTCCACACGTTAAAAAAAAAAAGGGTTTGTGTCAACTTTCCCTTCTCTTTGCAGTGCTGTTGTCTACTACTACATGTCTCATATTTATATTTTCCAGATCACCTTCAACACGAAAGAGGGACAACACTACCACATACCATTGCTGCTGAGTCCCTACGGATATTCCACGTACAGAGGCAGCTGAATCTACAAACTGATGACTGAACTAAGCATGTGACAAAATCACTGTGAATGAACGGTGATTTATCATTCGATTTTTTCGTACGTAGGTTAGGGTTACTACTTACTCAGTTGCCAATAAGCTGTTTTCAAATGATGCACTAACACCCTATTTCGCCTATTTAATCTAGTAATTATTTTATTATATGTAGCTACCATTCCCTACATAATAATAATAAAAATACTAAATTTACTGTTAAATAGTGTTTAACCTACCTACCTACCTAGCAACCCTAACCTACGTACGTAATAATCGAATGACAAATCATAGTTCACTGGTTCACTGTGATTTTGTCCTGTCCTGAGTGAACGATCGAATGAAAAATGTAGATTTAAATGTACACAAAAGAAATATATTTTTAACGTCTTTTCATTTTACTTACTTGTTTAATATGAAATAACAATGATACATACCTACATATTATAGCTAAATTTATCCACGAGCTATGATTTGTTTGTCTGTCCAAACGGGTTCTAGAACACAGATAAAATACATTGGCTAACAACGAGCTTTATTCTAAAAGCTATGACAAGCGATCTAAGTGGCGTGCAATGGGAGAGGCTGTCCAGCAGTGGACTGCGATAGGCTGATTATGATGATGATGATGATGACAAGTCTGGTCCACGTCCTGGCATAAAGAAGTGCCAAGTTATTTGAATTGAGACATTTTCTGTTACAAACCTACAATCTTATCAGTTGCCTTCTCGCCTACATTTAAATTAAACTAAATATAGCTAAAATCTTTATTTAACTTTATTTGTTCTTTAATATGTGAATATGGTTGCAACAACGATAATTACAGCCTATATTTTTTAAAGGTTTTATTTAACATGACCTGTTTAGGTCAAATTTAGTTGTATAATGGAGTAAACCCGGAACAGTAAATTTAAGACTAGCACTTGCTTCAATCCATGTGAAATATATTACATTTCTAGACTTGAATTCAATTTAATCCGGTTACGAAGAAAATAAGTACCTTATGCTAATAAAAACTTCGATCTCTCTAAAACTACATTAAGTTCAACCAACTTTAAAAATTGCATCAATCAAAAAATTAAAACAACTACTTTCCAAACTTTTTCAGAGGAAATCACAAAAAAAAACGAAACAATACTAGAAGTTACTGGCGACTTCGATTTCTTTGTTTTAAATCAATGATATTATATACGTCACCAACGCACAAAACGCGAGGGTCCTAATTAGGACCACTGCGAGCGAGCACACGTACTAATAAGTGAATTCTGAAAGTGCACAAATTACGACAAAAAGGTAAATAAAGATATAGGAATTTATTATTATCTTCGTATTATATATATTTTGATATTTATATGTATAAACTATATATATGTATACCTAGTACTTATACATAGGTATATCTGTAGGTATTTTCTTTTCTGCCATTGTGACATGGCTTAATTCAGTCTCATCTTTACATGTCCCTAAAAATACACCTGCCACACGCAGCTTTGCAACACCCAAAGGTTTGACTGGAAGAAAATGCCTGAGGCATTAAGTCCGCCTTATGCAATTTGTTTGCAAGAAGACTGTGGTATATTTAATAGTGCCATTGTATCTACCTGTGAATTGCAAAAGAGTGGCCATGAGTTTGTTTGCCCTTTCTTCTCATAAGGCTCAACCCCTTGGAAACGGGCGGTTGTAGATCGGCACAGGCATATCACAGATTTTGTATGGGTTTGATTTTTGTTAAATTTATTTGCTTACTATTTGACAAAACAGAGATTGTTGCTTTTGTGTGTGTTGATCTATGACTTTAGAGTCTACATGGAAGACGATTTCAAACAATTTTGGAAGTTTTATGAAATAAAGAAAGTTTGATTTTGACTCAATAAATAAATAAATATCATACCACAGGTGTGTTTTGTTCTAAAATGCATTAATAAATGTATGTACGGTTACGGAACAAACACGTACCTACGTGCAGTATGAATATAACTTACTTAGGATCTTTCTTAAAATATCATTGTTTCAAATAGTTTCGTTACGCTATCACACACAAGGTTAAAGCAAATTTGCAACAAAATGTAATAATGAATTTTCATTAATTTAGTTGTAGCTTTTTTATTTTATTACTTCCTGCTTCAAAGTAGCTATCTGTATGTATAACAAATTTAGATTTTTGTTTGGTGGTGCAGTCGACTTTAATAATATTTTGGCAGTGCCAATGTTTCAAAATATTAAAAGCGTGAAAATCATCATTTATATGTACATCCACACACATACATCAATAAAATGTTATCATATATATATTTTGTTATATGTTATGTTATATGTTACGGTAGCGAAGTCAATAATATACGACTACTCTTCTGCACAAAAATATCTAAATGCTCTAGATTTCAATATATTTAGTACAACCTAGGATTCATAAATATCTATACCACTGTTAATATGGCGTACTACGACTGGCGTATGACGACTGGATGGCGTAGTGGTTTGTGTAACGGACTGCTATTCCAAAGGTTGCGGGTTCGATTCCCGCTCAAGTCAAACATTTGTGTGCATGAACATTTGATGTTTGATTTGGTCTGGGTGTCTCTATGTATAATATGTATGTATTTACAAAAAAAAAGTATCTATGTATTTATATCAGTTGTCTAGTACCCAAAGTACAAGCTCTGCTTAGTTTGGGACTAGATGGCGTTGTGTGTATGTGGTAGAATATTATTATTATTAATATTCAGCCATATGGCCTGTACGATTTAATTTAGCTTGCCGGTGTGGAAGTAATAATGCGACGTTGCTTTTAAAACCTTTCTAGATCTCGTGTGTACGTGGGCCTTCAAATTGGTTACTGATCATACTCAAGTGGAGTCTTCATTTTCAACCATTAAACCCCATAAATTTTCAATGTTGTGTTGAGTTTTCACGGCCTACTCAAGTGTCCTGCAGGCGGTAGTGTCGTGTTCCGGGTTGCTGATCCTGACTATATCGGTTATTCTACATAATGGCTGGAGCTCGTATGCCGTCTGTATGGACGGGGCGACTCAATACTATGGTCCTTTCTTCAAAAGGCCAACCCAGACACTATACTGCACTCACATAGTTTAACATTGTACACTACCCTAAAAAAAAAACAAGTTTGTTTTGGCGTTTCTTCCCAGAGCGAGTCTTAGGAAATGCCGGCGCCTTCTAGTTGTAAAGTCCGACTTGTAAAAATATCAGAAAAGATTTACTTCCAAAAATAAATATAATTTCATTTCAAAGAACATCCGAGTTGACTAAAGCTACAAGATCAAGACAAGTAACTATCAAGGTAGTTCATCATTTTTTTGTGCGGAAATAATATATATAATATAATATAATATATTTTACTACATTCACACAACGCCATCTAGTCCCAAACTAAGCAGAGCTTTACTAAGGGTAGGTACTAGACAACTGATATAAATACATATATACCTACTTTTTTTTGTAAATACATATTATACATAGAAACACCCAGACCAAATCAAACATTAAATGATCATGCACACTAATGTTTGACTTGAGCAGAAGTCGAACCCGCGACCTTTGGAATAGCAGTCCGCTATGCCATCCGGTCGGTCAAAAACCCCTCCACCGAACGACTGATGGGGTGGTTACGTCGGAATCGAACCGACTAGAAACCGCCACCCTCAAACTGCTTCTGCTAGGGTGACAGATGGCCTCACTTGTCATCCCCAGGCTTGCGCTTATAGAGGACGGAGGTTGTCCAGCGACCTCCAGCGCCTGAGTACTCTGCGGTACCTGGCCCGTATCTGGGCCTGATGGAGTTCTAAATCTCTCCCGATCCCGCTCCGAGATTGTGTTACCCCACAAAACCAAGAATTTCTATTTTTATTCTTAACATCTGGGTGGACCAAGGCTACAAAATCAAGTATCAAGATAGTTTGCCACCTCATTATGCAAGTTGTAAATATAAGTAACTGAAACAACAACCTTCTTTATACAATATTTATTTCGACGCTCAATAAAAACTTATTTAATCTACAACAACTCGGCAAAAATATGATTTAAATTTATTATAAAAATTTATATCACGATTAGTTTATCGGAGCACAGGCTGGACCGTAATTATTTTTACGCTTTGACAAATCGATTAAAAAAGTCGCGACACGCACAAAATTTAAATTTCGAATGAATCCACGACCTTCAGTTCTTTATGGGTGTGCCTGTGCTAAGATATCTATTTAAAAAAAAACGTCCAGTCAACGGCGCCGATCGAGCAGAGTACTTTTATGCTGTGGCTTCTGTCTGTACTACAGTACAAGAAAAAAGCCCTATGTAGAAAGCTAAGACTTTTTTATAAACATGGGTCGTGTTAATTATAATAATTAGAATGCCTTGTAACATTTTATACACAGTCTTTTTAAAATTTATTTTACGTCAGTTAACATTTTCAACTACAGAAACTCATACTACAGTTTCAATGGTCAAGATTATGTACTTAGACGATGTTTTACATTATATTTTCATCACAAATAACACAAACATGTTACCTACTTCAGCAAAATACCCGCTGTGTATAAAAAGTTTTTATCTTCACCTTCCACTTTCAAACCACAGACTATGGCATCAATTTTTTTTATAGAAAAACAACAGCTAGATCGGTCAAGCGCGAAATAGCTGGGTATACTAATGAATAATTTTTCCCCGTATATGTAATGAAATAAGAGCTGTAAACAATCTTTAATTATATTGTTCGGTTTATCCTAAAAATATAACAAGAATATCACGTCTGATATCTTAAATACAGATTATGTCCCATGAAGACATGTATCGCCTAACATTGACCTAAAAAATAACTATTTACATGTTTAAAACTAAACACCTATTTTTCTATATGGAAAATTATCCTATAAGTAGCTAAAATCTATATTATTATAGGTATAATTTGAGCTATTTGAGTAATTGTGTATTACATATGTACCATAATTTTACCCGGCTATTTTGTTAACGTGCTATTATAATTTGAATAACAGCTGTAAACATATTGTTTAAAGATATATGACCTTGCATTTCAGGGGTGCCCGGTGTAACGTAGGACCCATGGTCAATTTTGTGGTCCTCGAAACACGCAGTAATCAAATATAAACGTATAACTTCATATGTTACTGTCATGTTCAACAATTATGTGAAATTTGAAATAACAATTAACTTACACAACCCAGATATTTCTTGTTAGATATTTAAAATTAAGCATCGAACTATTTACTTGATAATATGAATAACACCTAAAAATTTAAGCTACCCACTAACTCCTAATTTATTCGTTGAAATTTTATTGGAAGATTTTTATGAGCATTAATAAATACAAAAATGTACAACCGCCTAACTGCGCGATACTAACATATACTACTAACATTCTTAATACCTAAGAATAAATGCGTACATTCTTTGCCTTTAAATGATCTCTTTTAACTCTATATGTACAAACAAAAAATATCTTTATAGCAACACTTTGTATATTATATACTGTATTTATATAATAAACATTAAATTTTTGTAATTCTAAGGGCTTCAATAGACTCGCTATTTTTCTTTTTAAATCTATTGGACAAGACTGCAGGAGTTATCTAATTAACATCTATTGCAAAGTAAAATATTGTTTTGTCTGCTGCAACTGTTGAACTATTAAATTTGTGATATAGGTAAGTTACAGTACGTTTCAAATAATCTATCTGTGGGGTAAAAATTGCTTGTGTATTCAAGCCCCTTCTAAGTTGTAACTCATCTTAAGATTATCAAAATTATTTATGTTTCTACGCTATACAATTCAGCAACAAGAAAACAGCCACCATTTGCAGTTCGACAGACATTTCGCAGACATAACCTAGGGGTTCACTGAAATCGTCACTAGTTAGCGCCACCGGCCAATGATTTACTGTACTTTTGTCACCTATTGCTGCAGCAACCAGAAATATGAAATTTAAATACCTATAAGAATCTGAAATGTAATTTTATACATACATAGACATAATATCGTGGTATAGTTCGGCTATTATATGTATAAATATGTAGTATGCGGTAGTAGCGCCATCTAGTGACGATTTAATAGCAGCCCGACAGCGACTGTCCCTTAAAGCCGAACGGCAGATAATTCCTAGCCTATGAGTATACACGAAGTATTGTAACAATGTTTGGCAACTCGCGGCGGCTGGGCGGGAGGCTCTGCAATACAAATGGTCACATTCATCAGTAAATGGCGTAGGGCGCGACACCGGGTCTTCACATCACTATGCAGTCTACAAGTCACACAGTTCACATATCCATTTTATTGTCCAGTTCCTTTGCTTCCGTGCTTCATTTACTTCGAGCTTACAAGTCAAGTTTATGACCGGCTTGGACAATTACCTATTTTAAAATGGAAGATATGGGGGAAACACTGATTTATAGAATAGTTATTGTTTTTAAATAGATTGAACACTCATATACTCCCTATGAGTTTTAAATTTCTTGGATATACACACAGCTAAAAGTTGATAAACAAAAACAGTTCCATTCTTGTTTACTAAATAGTGACATCATAAATATAATTATATGTCATAGACAATAAAGTTTTCTCTGTTGTTATATTGTCAGGGGTCATAACAAAAAGGTGACATAACCAAAAACCTGATCTTTAGAAGTTTATATAATAGTTATAATGCTTATGAAGGTTTTTATACTAGTTATTAATACAAAAATTTATCACAAAGCTTCACAGACTACATATTAAATGCTTCTAATTTAATCAACTATCATAAACTTCTGAGAATTGAAACGAGGGCAGCAGTTTGTCAACTTCCTGTCAGCTACATTATGTTTATGAACCATCACTATTTTGTTAATTCAAATAAACTTAACAAAACTTACAGAAATGCTAAATACCAACAATTTTATTATGTTAGAAAATTTTCAAAGAAAACTTCCGAAAGTGTAGTCCCTCCTCTTCAATATTTTTTTTACATTTACCTGTTTAAGAGCTGTGAAAAAAGGCATAATTAAGAAACATAGAGTTTTGATTCAACTTGAATCATACTTACCACATAGAATGTTGTGTTCTGAGCGCAGACCCTCTATGGGAGCATGTATCGCCAACATCTAGTGTAGTGAAATCAGAATCAAACCATTAGAACAAGAACATTTCATTCCAATGTACCACAACCTTTGGGATGCATTATGAACATTTTTAGTCTTCTGTCACATGAGAATTTCTTCAAGAATTCACTTCGTAATGATAAAAAGCCATATCACTCATCTAAGAGTTAAATATCACCTAATTTCCATAAAATATACATAACATGATTTAGAATAGAATCAGTCTTGCACTGTCTCAGTCTTTTAGACATAAAACAATCTTAAATTGAAAGTTTTAACTGACCTTAAATCCACAGCCTGCAAATAAAGAATTAGTGAAGGAAGAAGTAATAAAATTATGACCCACCTATTTCCCTTCTTCTTGTCCAACAACTTCTTTATATCTCGCAATCATAAGCTTCTTGACCGTGTCTCGATAAGTTTCTCCGGGGGTGGGTGTATAAATACCTCTTTTCTGCCCTAAGCCTGCTAAACTGGGCCTCTGTTCAGCTTCTATAGGTGCAATTCTACCTTGTTCTTCTTTACCTAATCCTCTACCTTCTGACCAACCCATTTTTTGTAACATTTTACCACCAATAGTGTCGACAACTGAGGGTGGTGGGTGTGATGAAACAGGTGGAGGCATTGGTTCAGGGGGTTCATAACGCTTTCTGATTGGTGTTTCGTCTTCACCAAACTTCATGCGTCTCTCTGCAGCCCTATCTCTGTAACCATTTGGTTGAGGGACAAGTTCATTCTTTTTGCGATACTCTGCCAAGTTTTGTTTGTGTAAGTCTGAAAGTGATTTGTGTTTGTTTAGAACTTCAGCAGAAGGGAAACGTCTCTTACATACAAGGCAGGTGAGCTTAGGCCAGTCAATGATTCCTTCATCGTTATCAAAAGCGATTTCTGTTTCAGCAACTCTTTTCATTAAGAAGTCATCACCAGTAGGTGGAGGTGGTGATAGTTCTCTAACATGAGTCAAAGATGGTCCAGAACCGAGTACAGAAAAACCAATATCTGCTGAACCTTTACTGGGACCAGTGTCTGATGGTTGTTCCATCACTGTGTTGCTTCTTGCATTCTCCTTCTTTTGATTCAACGTTCTGGCCCACCTTTCCATATCTTTAGCTATCTTTTTGGCAACTTTTACTTTGTCCTCTTTATCTTTCTTTTTCTTTTCCTCTGGCTCTTTAATTATGGTGTTTTCAGTAGTGGCCTGGGGAGGGTTTGGTAATTTAGGCTGCTCTGTGTTCTGATGGGCTTGAGTAGCTGCTATGTATGTGCAGCTAGTTGCATCCCAGTACATATACTGATTAGACTGACTGTTATAGAAATATTGACTAGTGCCATCATAATATAACCCTGTAGACGGATCATAATAATAGCCAGAAGTCTCATCATACATAAAAGTCCTAACATCGGGAGCAGAGTATACTGTTTTACCATCACCAGTGGGAGCTTTGACAGTGGATGTGGCTTGAGTGGTGGAAGTAACAAAGACAGGTACACTAACAGGTGTCCAGGACATTTGACGGGCCTGAGCGGCAGAAATAGCAGACTGCGCCACAGCAGCAGCTGCATTTACCCTGTCAGCTTCGGACATAGCCTGAGATGAGGCCTGATAGTTGGACATTTGATTATAATATGTAGAATAATCTGTGTTCAAAGGTTTCTGAATCTTTTTAGGTTCATTATAAAAACTTACTAATACATCTCTTCCATCAATTTCTAGTGGGGGTTGGAGGGAAACTAACTCAGAATGAGCTACTGTGGAATCGGCAATAGAGTTAAAATTAATATAAGCCAAGCATTTGGAAGCACCTGTCAAAGTCTCTCTACCAATAGTAATGCCTGAAATAGAATCTAAGACAACCTTCGAGCATCTCTCTTTAATAGCATCCAGGATTTTTTCTTCTGTTGTAAGAGCATCTAATCTTCTAAATAATAATCTCTTAGTAATACCTCCATTTTCTGACATTGAATTTCTTTCACTATCACCACCATATACTACACCTTCAGACCTCTTGCCTTGACAATTGCGTCTGTAACAGACTAGACGACGCTTGAAATTGTACAATCCACACTTACAAACCCAATCCCCCGGAGATGCATTATTTGATGATTGGTTATCATCTTGTTTGTCTCTGGACTCATATTTATTTTCATACTCAGAATCCATTCGGTCTCTGTCTCGGCTACCAGAGCGACTGCTTGATCTAGATCTGCTAACTCTTCGCTCAGATTCAGTTATTTGGGGCGGCGAAGGCGGTATAGGCATGCCCCTTTCCCGTTCACGTTTGGGTGGCCGACGGCGGTTACGGTCGCGACTCCGATCGTACCGATCGCGGCGGAAACGGTCCTCGCGGTCGTAGCGGTCCCTGCGGTCGTCATCGCGATCCCGTTGATCACGTTCATAGCGCTCTCGTTCGAATGTTTCATGATGATGGCGATCACGCTGCGGTTCTCGGCGATCAGGGCTGCTACTCCGACGAGGCTCCCACACGGGCGAGCGGGGACGCCCTTCCGTCTGCCTGTCGGACCAGCGGTTGTCGTCTCCCCATCGTGAGCTCCGCTCGTCACGGCCTCGCCACGACATCGCAAAAGCCTGTGAACATCACCCGTATGAATAAAGTGACTGTACTCACAAACCGTGCGACGCCGCAGTCCCATGTTCTCCATGTTGGTTGGCCTATAATCGACGTTCAATAACCTTTCTCCTTGCCGTTTTATTGTTTACCTGCTGAAACGATCACTGGTACGAAAATATAGCCTTCAATTACACACGTCTATCACTTGAAATATAATTTTATATAACATTTAATTTCTAATCAGAACGCAAAGTCACATTCACAGAAAGATAGGTAGGAAGTAGCCATTTTTTCTCCATGAAAATGTGAATGAATGACTAGCTAGTGTTGCCAAGTACCAATCTTACTATTTGTAGCAGAGAGTGTTATTCTAATGGTCAGAAAATAACATGAAGGAACCAATGACTTCAACATCATACTTGTGGCAAGAAGTTAAATATTTAAAGTAATTAAGTAACAATAATAATTAAGTAAAATGAAATCAATAGTAAATAAAAAAGTAAAAAATTGTAATAATTAAGTAAAATGTTAGTTAATCTTTTTTTGTACTGTAAAATTGTACTTTTTTCTACTGACTTCAAACGCTATTCATTTTTTAATGACAGAAGATTAACATTCAATTAATGAAGAGCATTACTATTATTTATGTTTTTATTTTTTTAATTTTACATGACAAGTAGCAATAGCAATAATGTAGGTTATTTAGGGGTACGGGACCCGCACCCGCCAAATTAAACAAACAAACACTAGTGCTGGGTCTATCATCCTTTCCTTGAAACCAGTTAAGATATTGATGATGTTATGTAACTTTGACGAGAATTAACGAATTATGTGTGATGTTTCACTAAATAAATTATTAGATGTTTACTTTGGTATGTGTAGTAAGTAGCAAGCTGAAGCTGAACACTTGCTTTATATCATCGTGTTGTAATATTGTAACTCTCCCTTTAATGATTTGACTAAGTATTGGATATTTGATGTTTTTTCTCACATTGGTTAGATTGACAAATTCAAGGTTGCCATACGTGGAAAAATCTAAAAGGACAACTGCCGCATTAGGAATATATCCTGTGTCGCGGGGGACTTTACAAACATACATGAAACGGAGACAAAGAACACCCAGACTCAGAACAAAAATTTGTGGATCACACAAAGTGTCGTCCCATGTGGGGATCGGACCCACAACACTCAGCGTAGTAGTAAGCGGCATGGCGATCGCTTAAATTGTCATCTTTGCAATACACAAAGGTTTGACTGGAAGAAAATGCCTGTGGAATTAAGTCAGCCTTATGCAACATGTTTGCAGGAAGTCTCAATAAATAAGGGAGAGGGGGGGGGGGTTTGGCTTCCGGTAACCCTATAACTATATAATACATTGCCTACATGGAATTATACAAGTGACTGGGATCCGTTAGCACGTTTATACACATTTGGATGAAACTCCTTCCTCATACTCATTACAGAATTTTATGCCCAATTTGACTATATTCTTAATATTAATTGATTTGTTATATTTAAATATTTGGAGGTTTAGGCCTAATATACCTCGCTGCCCTGACGGGTTGCTATAAGGTTTGTGTCAAGTTTTCCTTCTCTTTGCGATTGCTCTTTTCCTGCGTAGTTTGCTCAAGACACCCACGGGAGAAATAGGGGCGATGACACTCCGTGCTTTTAACTCGTCACAAACGTCACACGAACCATAGTGTAGTAGACCAAAACCTCCTTTGTAAGGAGAGGCCTAAGTCCGGGAGTGGACTTTTAAGGGCTGTTGATACAAATTATTGATACATTTAAATATTTGTACACATGGTCCAAAACAGAGCCTTTGAGTTGTCAGGATCATCTGACTTAAGTCAATCTGACAGTTAACGACCAACTTCTTAAATTTACTGGATGAGTTTCCTTTCTAAGGAGAGGCTTATGTCCAGCAGTGGACTATTAAAGGCTGTTGATGATGATGATGAGTTTCTATATTACAGAGGTGTGCTGTCCTCGCATTTTATTAGGGCTGTGATTAATTACATTAGTAGCTGTATTTCAAAAAAGAAGAATTATGAGGTACCTATTAATAGATCAGTAGGTAGGTTTTTTCTAACTTTTTTCTATGGAGTTGTCGCGTCTCCTGCTGTGTGACCACCGTTACTCACCACCGTTCTGCAACTTGAGTCATGAGCGCGTGACCCTTGAGGTGGAAACACGCTCTATTTTTGAACGCTTTTCTTATCTTGCAAGGATTTTTTTTGTGCTTTGGCACTTGGCACAGTTGGGCCAGCCACCACGTGTTGATGATACCACAACCTCATAGAAAAAAGGTGTTAAGTAATTCTGTCGTTGCTTTTACCGACTGAGTGGGGCTACCGGAGCCCAAGCTTCTCCTACCACTGTTTTTGGGGGTGGACGGGGATAGGGGGGGGGGGACTCAAAGGACTGAAAAGTACTTCTGACCTATAAGTGGCAGGTGTAGGTAACAGTTACAGTGTTACGCGAGTTCAATGGTTTTTTCCCATCTCAAAAAATGTGTTTTTTGTTAAACTATAAAATACATTATTTTGTTTGTTTTTCAAAAATGCCAACGCGCCTAAAGATTCACTTCACTTCACTTCACTTCAAAGAAATTAAGAACATTTCTACTAGGTAAAGTACAGAACTCTTCCTCTGAAAAGTTGCATGTACCTAACCTTAAGAGAGACCACCTAAGGTGTCAATTTATTCAACTGTAGCAACATCGGTAGCAACCTTTGCGCCAACGACACGCTGACTGACAGAAGTGAAGTATGCCATAAACTTATTTGTCTCTGCCTAACCAGGAAAAGAAGCGAACTAATAAACAGTGTTACTGTACCTTTCGTTCATACATTTAAAGATGGCTTTTACAACGACTATACCTTAATAGTAATAAAATACATTTTTATATATATTTTAAGTTTATTAAATGACCATGTCATGTCTTATCTATAAGTCTTATAATATCTCAAATAATGATTACTTTAAAAAGCGGAAATGATTTTTACAATTAAACTACCGACAAACACAAAGATTCGTAGAATCAAAATGAAACTTCAAACTTAACTAAGCATAGACTAAGTAAAATAAATTGACAGATGTGCCAATTCTAAGTAATTTTTTTGTTTAATTTAACTTTATAATTTAAAATGCTTTATTTTAAAAATAAAGTATCAGTCTGTTTTTTTTAACATCTAATGATTTTATACAAATAAACTGACGCAAGTTAGAGAAGTTTTAGCTGCAAAATAATTATTACAACAATGCTTATTCATTCAATTTGCTTATAATTGATAAATGGAATGTGGACACCGTTACATATGAAGATATATCGATAGGTACGTATTGTTATATACCTAAACACGTCTAATCTACAATATAGTAGAATACATGTTTCACAGACATAAAATGAACGCATTGTTCCTCAACCATAGACAGTTTAAATTAAATTTATACAACGAACACTGATCATTATCTAGTACTAACATTAAAGTGTCTTTCGTCCATGTTTCACACCTATCAGCTTTGTTCTTGCAAACCAATAAATAAGTTACGTATGTGTTTGTGTGTGTAACACTCTCATATTCCAATGATTTGAAGAACCACTGACGGCTAGTGTGCGTTCTCGAATGAACGACCAGCTTCTGTTATCCAAGATAATATTGATGTATTTGTATCGGTCAATTACGTATTGGTGGAGTCATTCACATTGTGTGTTATGACATAGAATAAATTTGCAAATCTAGCATTTTAACGGTCGATATATATTAAACAAATACTGGTAGTCATTCAAGTACGCAACTAAAAGAACTTTGCATATTTTTTTTGCGTCATTTTGTCGGGCCAACTGATTAACTTGACTTGAGAAATTATAAAAGCTACCTTTAAAAGGCAGATCGTGTCAAGTGTACGTTTCAGTGTTGTAAATAGGCTCGTAGATTCGATGTTTTTGTCTTGAGACAAAAGGCAAGGAAAAGTATATAAATATATGTTAGACACGTAATTCTGTTATATATTGCTGCTGAATAAGTAATAGATATTTAAGTCATCACGGCCGCCCGAAGTCTCGACGCATACTTAAGCAAAGTTCTTTTAGTTCCAATGGGCGCGCCACTAGTCTTTTCTTCCAGTGAGAAGATGTTCTCGCAAGGTGCAGATCTCGCGCTCGATATTCTCGCGAGCGGCCGCCTCGAAGCACTCGAATTCCGGCGTGTGGAACAACTTCGGGATTTGCGAGAACTGGTTCAGTACCTGTAACATGTTTAACTAGTTTAATACTCTATTCCAGGTAAGTCAAGATCTCCTCTATTCGTGATAAATGTTGTTATTTTTACAATAAAATTATGAAAATAGTTCTACTACTTACTTTAATTCTTAATTCGACATAGTTATCTTGAGAGAGCTTCGAGTACTCAGCCCGAACTAGTTTCGCATGCGCATCGTATTCTTCTCTCGAAGCCGCTAGTACGGCAAGCTCGCAGTCACCGAAGAGCTGAAGGTCTCGCAGCGGGGCGGGGCCGGAAGGAGTGGCGGGCGCCGGAGGCAGGTCACCCCCCACAGCTCCCTCACCATCTACATTTTCTACAGAATCCGGTTCAACGCTATCCGGTTCAACCCCACCGCTCGCACTGTCTGGTTTCGGTAAACTATCTTCTTCGTTGGCCCCGGTTGCACTGTCAGGTTGGTCGGCGCGATCTGGGCTGTCTGGGCGCGGCGCAGTATCCCCTCTAGCGGCTTTCTCCGTTGGATCATCGGGGATAGGTACCGCTTCAGCCTCATTATCAGAATCTATGGTAGGCTCTGACTCTTCATCATCGGCTTGCGGGTTCTCATCTGAGCTTTCGGGGGACGTAGGAGAGGATGATTCGTTACTGCTGCATCCCCCAGAGCATATCGCTTCGTCATCAGTCAACAATGCGAGGATGTAGGACGTTAGGTCTTGCTGTAATATGATAATAATAAGAATGTAAGAGTTGAATGTAAGTTATAACGTGGTCAAGGGTGCCAAGGGCCTTGTGTGCTCGTGGCCAATTCGGTAATTAAATGATGGAGAGAAAATGTAAAGTCAGGTCAATTTCACAATTTATAATTGATTCACTTGCAAAAATATTAAATGACGACTTTCGAGTAAATAGAGACTAAATTAAGTTCAGAGCTGGGCTCCATGACCCTTTGACTTTGACTTTGATCAGGGTAGCGGCCGTGGTAGGTGCAGAACACTTAACTTCATTGTAGGCCAGAGCGCCGCCCGTTATGGAGGATTGGCTCGAGAGGCGTCACGGGACCCTCTCATACCGATTGACGCAGGTGATCACTGGGAAGGGATGTTTCGGAGATCACCTGTGTCTGATCCGCAAGGAGCCAACGCCTGAGTGCCACCACTGCGATGGCCAGACCGTGGACACGGCTCTCCACACGCTGGCAGAGTGCCCGGCGTGGGTTGAGCAGAGGCGAGACCTCGTGGCGGCCATCGGAGTGGGAGTTCTCTCGCTCGATAGCCTGATTGCGGCTATCGTGCGGAGCGAGAGTGCGTGGAACTCTGCCGTCTCCTTCTGCGAGCAAGTTATGCTCGCGAAGGAGACGGCGGAGCGGGACCGGGAGAGGTTTAGAACTCTCCCGGCCCGCCAGGCCCGGGCACGGGCCAGGCAGCGCAGGCGACTCAGGCGCCGGAGGTCGCAGAACGACCTCCGTCCTCCATAAGCGCAGGCCTGGGGGTGACAGGTGAGGCCATCTGTCACCCTAGCAGAAGCAGGCCGGGGTGGCGGCGAGCGCTCGCTCGCTCGCTTCCAGGGAGCACAGGGAACATGGGGTTCCCACACGGGGCGGGGGTCGTCTACTCGTCTGTAGATGACCCGAGGTATGTCGGGGCACCAGGGCCTTCCTTTCTAGGGTATACCTGGTTCCCCGGCAATTAGTACCCGGCGAAGGCGTGCGGTTTTAGTCGGTTCGAGTCCGACATGCCACCGACAGGTGGTATCCGAAGGGGATTTCCGCACGGAAAAAAAAAAAAAAAAAAAAAAAAAAAAGAAAAAAAGGCCAGAGCGCCGCGATTGCTTTTCCTTATATATCCCTGTGCGTGGTGGAGCGATGGAGTTAGGGGCGGACGGTGTCGCGTGACATCGTCCGCTCCTAGGTCAGTACATTTAAAAAACAACATGCAACGTGTATCAAACATATGTGTGAGTGAACTTACTGATTGTGGATGTAATCGCAACATGTCGGACAGCAGACGAACAGTTCGCTCTGTCGGCGTGTGCCGCAGTACTATCGCGAGCTTGAAAGCCGCTGGTTGGATTACGTCGTCTATTCCTTTGTTCAACAGATTCTGCCACACGCCCGCCTGAAACCAGCAATACACGTCGATTTTTTTATTAAATCGATTTGATTGAGTATTTTTGGATTGGAGGATGCTTATTGCTTATGTGTACTCAAAATGTTTCTTTATCCCAAATATGTGTATGTTAAAAGAATGATTGGTATTCGTTATATTATAAGATAGATATAACGAGACACTGTCGAGAAAAGATTACAGAAGTATGAAGAGCATATAATACATATTTAAATTGATGTGAAACAGCCAGCAACAGAGCAAATACGCAAATCGACTGACCTATTATTAAGATTCATCATGGAATCACTGACTAGACGCATGTCAAAGATGCTCTAGTTTAAATACCACGAGAAATCAGTATGGATTTATGCAATATACATATGTAACATAAATAGGCTTTTGCTTAAGCACAATTGGTGTTAGATAAACTATGTTCTCAAAAAACCGTTTTGCAATATTGTGAATAGTGGATATTAAGTTTAAATAAACTTATTAAAAACAAAATGTACTCTAAAAATTACATGTTTCATGAGACTGAAAGCTGTCTTCATTGACTGTTAGCGTCATTGAGTTAAAACAACACTAGAGAAGCAAACCTCTTTATCACACGTCGAAAAAAGTGTAACCACTTTTGAACTTTGACGACGTAGCTTTGATACCACTAAACATTTGAAAGTAAACATATTTATGTCTCATTTACACGCGAGACAAGAACAATACCATCGCTCGGATTAGACAAAGACAAAGATATAACTTTACGATGGTGGGCCAGTGTTGACTACCGTATGAAATTTTACCCATAACAACTAAGAAACAATTTTTTTTTAAACAATTTTGTAATAAAATAAATTAATTTAAATATTCTAAATAATATATTTCCAATTGAATAGAATAGGTATAATTAATAAAATAACTGGAAATATTTGGTTAAAAGGGTTTATATTCAGTGTAAAATCAAACTGCGCTGTGAAGCATCAGTTTTGTATACAATTGTCTTTTAGACTCTTTTTTATAAGTTTGTGTGGATATTTTACTTTCATGATACAAACTTTATTTTACATATGTAAAAATAATAGCATTTAATAATAAAAGTGAATGATCAACTTGTACTGATAATAAATAATCCCCAGGGTGTATTGCAAATTCTATAATAATTTAAAAAACAAATAAAAAATTTTTTTTTTATTTTTTTTATTTATATTTTATAAAAAAAATTTTTTATGTTTATTTACTTTTTTATTTTATATTTATATTTTTTATTTTTATGATAAACATTTTTTATTATTATTATTATTATTTTGTACAATTATTATTTAAAATTGATAATAAATTAAGAAAAACAATGAATTAATTCTTTTGAACAAAAGTCTCAAGCACTGCGAGCTTGGCACTTCTGCCAAGCTCGCAGTGAACGTTCAACGGGTCCCTAAAAAAAGTGATCGGTCCAGCCCTAACAACTACCGTTCTTCCTATATTTTATTATTATTGGCAAAATGTTTAAAAACAGTATAAAGCATATTATTTCATAAATTATAAATTCTCCCACTAATGTGGGAAAACCAAAATGATTTTTTAATGGTAACACTGATTCTAAATTACAATTATCAGTGTTTTATTTTAATAATAGCCTTATTTACGATATTATCAATACAAAAACCATAAACTTATACGTGAAAAGTAATTCCGCATGATTTATTAATGTTTTGTGACCTTGAATCGCATTCTTTCACAACGCATTTAGCCATTTTGGCGATTGTTACTGTCATGTGTCGCTATGTTCAACTCGGTTGACGCCACATTGAATACTGAATTGACGTTTGCTACGCATATGCCTGTGGACAGATGTGCAGTAGCAACGATTTTAGGCGGTAATTACTCATCTATATAAGTATTATATCAATGGTTAGCGTATATTGTTACAAGTTATATAAAACTTGTATGTATAAGTTTTGCAGAACGTATCGTTTTAACATATTATAAAGAAAAAAAAAAAAAAAATTGACAGGTTATTACTTTATTATAGTTGTTGAATTATGAAAAAGTTTTCGTCACCACTATCTTTATCAAGAGCCTTCAACAGAAAGGCCTCTCCTTAGAAAGGAGGTTTTCGCCTACTATACCACGCTGGTCAGACGGGTTGGTATAGGGTTTGTGTCAAGTTTTCCTTCTTTTTGCAGTGCTGGTGTCCTGCGTAGTTTTGCGCCCTTAGTCGGCTCTTACGACGGGATGAATTGGGGTAGTGACATTCCGTATTTCGTTCATTCGTCACTACACGGACACTATCTTAACGAAAACTTATAAAGGTGTTAGCGTATTGATGGCATTACCTGATAAGCTACGCAGTTTCTAAGCGAGTGCCAGAGCGAATCTGGCGGCGAGGCGTCCACAACCTGTTGCCAAGCTTCATCAGCATTAGGCGCAACCAAAGTGTTCGTTGCGTTGCGCCACATGCGCATTGCTGAACATCCCTGCCGCTCCCCGACGGGGACGGGGCAGGTCATCACTGGGGATGGAAAGACGACCTCCTTATTTAGACTCAGAGCAGCAGCAAATGTCTAACCTTAATTGTAATGTGATGTGTTTCAAGTGACGACTGTGTCGAAAAAGTTGTCTATCCTTAATTCCATCTACAAAGGTTAAAAGACGTACTGATTTCACGTAGACAGCTTTTAAAATTAATATGTTTAGTTCCTTCCCATTTTATTTTATATGAATCTAAACAAATAAATAAAATCTCTGTTTGTAATATCAAAATAATAAGTTTTTTTCCGGTTATGTACTTGTGCCCAAAAACTAGTTTTTTTTTGTCTGTCTCTCTAACTGTTTGTTCCAGGTAATCTTCTAAACGGCTGGACCGATTTAGATAATATTTAATTACCTGTTAGCTGTCTATATAAGGAGTAACTTAGCTATTCCTCTCAGAAAACCCTTTAAAATTCTACCCGGTCCGGGAATCGAACCCACTAAGGCAGCACTTTTCAAATTCCACGCCCGCGACCAACTAATCCTACATAAACATAATTTGTTTTAAGAGAATGTCCTACCTTTAGATGTTTATATTGTCAATGAGTTTTGAGTGAAAATCCAATTTTATCATTTAAACAAAATCTCCAAGAACTTGAAGTTTTGACTGTGGTTATTGTAAAGTGAATAACAAAAACCATTATATTCAAAAGGCACGAGTAAATGAGAGGAAAGGCGCTTCCTTTCGTTGGCTAGAGGGAGATGGCACTTATCCTTAACTGTGGAAGACGGACTGTTTTTTTAGAAGGTGCAATCTATCGGTAACGATGCTTGATAATTTGAAACGGCCGCAAGACAGCGATTTTACTTTTAACTAATAATATAAAGGTAGGTGAAGTTGTTTGTTTATTATTTTGTCAGGTTATACTTGCTTTGACTCCGTAACTGATAATCGTGATAGGTTGCATACACGTTGTGATAAATAGAGAAAATGACATCGGATAAACTCAATCCAGATAAGAAGTACTGTTTTGGAGGGATAAATTGACAAACTCTACACTAAACGTAAGCGAATCCGCGGGTAATAACTAGTCGCTAAAATATCACACAAAACTAACCATAACAAGACAAAACATCTGTGTTATATGACACAACTGTAGTAAGACAATAAGCCATGATTGTGACAGGGTTCCTTGGTTAACCGAATTAACTAGTAGTATACCCTCACGTTGTGGATTGGAGCAGAAATACGAGTGGAATATTATTTTATATACAATTTTTTAACACGGTAAACACGATTATCTGTTCTTTTAATCTGAGCAGAGGCTGTTGTTAACAAACAAATAATGTGTATACTAGACATAGAGATTACTGCTACTTTTAAATCACATGCCGTTTAGTCACAGCGATTTCATATGTCATAATCAAAACAAAGTCAATCATAATTATAATGAGTAATCATATGATTTATCACATGTGATTTTATTCCATACCTAGTGTATACATAATACAGTGAGATAGAACAAATGATAGTGCTCATTTTACAATTATTTGTTCTGGGTGAGAATTGAACCCACGACAACTGGCTTAGTAGTAAAGTTTACTAACCTCGATGTCTTACTATAAAATCAACATTCGTTAATAGTTTCTTAATACTTAACATCACTGTAGTATGTGATAGGATATTCAATATTAGTGTATTAAATCGCGTTAACCATATATTTCTGAAAAATATGGGTAATAGATTAATAATACTGGCAACATTGTCTAGACAAAAGTAAAATATTGAATCTGTAGTTACTCTCCAATTATTGAGTAATAATAAAACGAAACTACTGAAAAAAAAGAAAGCAATGGAATCATAAAATGATCACCTCCCATATCGGGCTCCCTCCACCAATTGTGCGCCAGTTTGAATAATGCAAGGCCAATGGGCCGCCGCTACAACTGAAACAATGGTCGATTTTTAAATACGTACTCAAAACAGTAACAAGGTCAGACAACTGTCGCGTCTGCAATGTCGCGCTCTGATCAATGACAACAGAAAAAGACAGTAACAATTTTTTTTCGTAACCATAAATTTTAAAAATGTTCGCCATGTTTGACTTCGCGACTCAATTTGATAGCGGGAACAAAGTAATTAAATATTTATCGATTAATAAAAACCGAATAAATTTACCGGTTGCCACTGAACGGAAATAAGAAACTGTAAAGTAATATGCAAAAATCGAAGATATTATAGAATACAATTCAAAATACTTTTAACGAATATTAAGTAATTCTTGCCTAAACACTTGAAAGATTAAAATACATGATTCAGAAAATAGAAAAAGAAAAAAAATGGACTTACATGAAAAGTCCAGGTTGATCCTGGTTAATGGTTATAATTTAAAAATCGAATTTACTATTTTTGTACGTGCCAGACGTGTTGGCCGCTCTCGCGGAGTGTCATGGCGGCGCGAGGGAGGGGCGCGTGCGCGGACATCGACATCGACGAGCGAACATCGATGGTGCTACGCGCATGTTTTCATTGTGAGCGCCTTATTGTTTAGTTTAGCGCTGTGTTGAGGTCGATGACCGATATATAGTATAAAAAATAAAATTATATTGTCTTGTTGATTTCATTCACGAATTAAAACTCGTTACGGAACAAATATTTAAAGAGTGCAGTATGGATATAACATATCTTACTTAAAATATCATTGATAATTGCACTGAGAGCAATTATCAATATAAAAATCATATTGGTTTAACACTAACAATTCTTCTGACTTTCTGTTATTATCAAATAGCAGGTATATCAATTATTATGATATTATCTACGCGTTTTGAGTACTTTGTTATGACTATTATGTATTTACGACTAGTTGATCGTAAAACAGTATTTGGATTTCACCAGCAATTTGTTACATTATTGGCGATTATTGAAATATTTTTTCCCTTAACCTCATGTACACCTCCATTAATTAGCATACTATATTTATGAAAAAAATCCTTGATTCTCTTTACTGAATAATACAATTCTATGGAAATAAAAAATAAACTACTTAATCAAAATTTAAATATTTTTTTCGATATTTGTTAATGTACAACACTATGGAATAAAGGGAGAAAATAAGTGAAGGTCATACGCATGCGCGAGGGCGCTTATGCCTCTTATAAAAGGTACCATTAAAAAATAATCCATATTCTTAGGAAGCTAAAGTGTAAAATTAAAAACCTTTTTGTATTATTTGGGAACTAATAATCAATATTATGCTTTATTCTAATGGGTTATGGTTTAAATTTATGTATACTGTAATTTTGATGACTCATATGGAAACTTGGTTGAGACATACTGCTAGTGTTGTACTGGCAGGCGTCTCATTTATTAAGTTATCCTCTTTCTGAGTGCTGAAAACTTATAGTTTTATTTATAGTAGACATATATATTTCTAAATAGATAAATTAGACTAGAAGGTCAATTCGTCATAAAAGATATTTTCTTAGTAAAGTATTAAACATCCAACGTTAACTTTAATGTGATTATATCATATTGTAACCGAAAATTGATTCGGTAATCTGCTAGTCTTAGTAATACTTTAGTATTTTACTACAAAAATACCTTTTATGATAGTTGTGAGATCGAAAGTTGATCGGAACTGAATTGTAACCAAACTTTTATTAGAAGAATTGTCCTTCAGGACACAAAACAAATGATCTTCCTCAATACACAATTATTCGTCCTGGATGGGAATCGAACCCAAGTCAACCCTTGTTGTCAACTCGGTCCTCGTACCGGTTCAGGCCCAGATGAAGTATCTGGGCTTGATCCTAGCCGGTGGCTCTTCGACGAGTACTTCCGACGGCTTGCTTCGAAGCTCGTCGGCGCACCGTCTGCCCTTAGGCGACTTTTGAATAATCTGGGTGGACCCAGCGTCGTGACGAGACGGCTGTACACGGGGGCCGTCCGGTCAATCGCACTGTGTGGTGCACCGGTGTGGGCGGTGGTCCTGACCGCCCAGAATAGGGCACGTCTTTGGCGTCCTCAGAGGGTATTGGCGGTTAGAGCCATACGTGATTACTGTACCGTGTCGATGAAGGTGATGGGGACACGCGGGATGAATAGGGGTGGTGACACTTTGTATTCTTAATCGTGTCCGTATGGTGACGGATTAAGAACTTATGCTTGGCTCAACAGATTTCGGTGTCTGGCGTATTATCATCTCTCGTGAAATTTCTTTGTGTATTTAGTAGTCTTTGTGTATGTATTAAACCTAAAAATATCAGTATTCAGCATCAGAAATAAATCTAGTGAAGACAAGTGTAACTATATAGTCACTACTAATCCTGCATCGCGCAGTTAAAGTTTTCGCGCGGCTTGGTTTATATTCAACTTCCGAACAATAATCGTTGGGCGGGCCTCGGCTCGTCTGGTATTTTCTCTTCTACCAAACAAAAGCTTATGTTTGATAGAAGTGAAAATGCCTCATTATTGCTAGTAGTTACTCAGAAGTATGGTCTTCCGAGCATCCTGAGATCTGAGTGTTAACTCACCGGGTACCTTCGTATATATTTAAAGATATAAGATATAAATGCCTTAAACCACAGTGTTCAAAACTGTGTTTCTGGTTGTAATATATCTATAACTAGTTTTGCCCGCGGCTCTGCCCGTGTGTTAGGTCGGTTATCGCGGTAAAAAACGCGGTAACATACGTCCTTCCTCAAAAATAAAACTATCTGAAAAACAAATTTTATTTCAATCCGTTTAGCGGTTATTGATTCCCCATACAAGCTTTCAGTCTCCTTTTCACCCCCTTAAAGGATGATTTCTTGGTTAAAAATTATCCTATGTTCTTTCCCGGGACTCAAACCAAATTTTGTTTTGCCAGCGAGACAGACATATAGATAGACAGACATACACACTTTGGATTTTATAATATTAGTAAAGATATGTAGGTATTTATAAATAAACTAGCTGACCCGGCAAACGTTGCTTTGCCTAAAAAAAAATTTAGGGATGGGTCACCCTTACCATTTAGGGGTATGAAAAATAGATGTTGGCCGATTTTCAAACCTACCCGATGTGCACACAAAATTTCATGAGAATCGGTCAAGCCGTTTCGGAGGAGTACGGGAACGAACATTGTGACACGAGAATTTTATACATATCTATACTAATATTATAAAGCTGTTTGTTTGTTTGTTTGTTTGAACGCGCTAATCTCAGGAACTACTGGTCCGATTTGAAAAATTCTTTCAGTGTTAGATAGCCCATTTATCGAGGAAGGCTATAGGCTATATATCATCACGCTAAGACCAATAGGAGCGGAGCACCAATGAAGAATGTTTCAAAAACGGAGAAAATTTATTACTATTGAGAGACGCAGACGAAGTTGCGCGGGTCAGCTAGTCTATACTAATATTATAAAGCTGAAGAGTTTGTTTGTTTGTTTGAACGCGCTAATCTCAAGAACTACAGGTCCGATTTGAAAAATTCTTTCAGTGTTAGATAGCCCATTTATCGAGGAAGGCTATAGGATATCTATTATCACGCTAAGACCAATAGGAGCGGAGCACCAATGAAGAATGTTTAAAAAACGGAGAAAATTTATTACTATTGAGAGACGCAGACGAAGTTGCGCGGGTCAGCTAGTATAAGATAAATATGTATGTTTATCAGCAGTTTGGATACCATAGTACATGCTCTGCCCAGTATGGGACCAGACAGAGGTGTGTGAGATTATTACTACTCAAAGTAATTAATTTCAGAAGTGCTGTTTTAGGTAATAATTTCTAGATGTAGAATTACAAAGTACATGACGTCACACTGTCTCAAAAAAAATGTCATCAGCTGTGTCAAGGACCAGGAGGGGGTCAAAAAACATGAAATTTGTGTGACGTTATGTATGGATGCACCCCCCTTTTTTTAAATTCCTGTGCGGTAATCCGCTCGGATACCAACCTCCGGTGGTTATGTCGGACTCTAACCGACTACAAGCCGCACGCCGCCTCGGGTACCATGTGTACCCTAAGAATCCCTGGTACCCCGATGTATCCCAGGTCACGTGTGTTCGAACCACGGTGTTCCCGTATGGATGCCCCTATAGGATTCGAATGGGACTAATCCCACCCACACGCCCCCTACTGTAACTCCTGTACACTAGGATCCACAGCAGTGAGCCACGAACACACCGAGTTATGAAGTCCCAGGAAGAAATTAAACTGTCTTGGAACCCGCAACGAAATTCATACGGATACGAATACGGATGTCGAGTATTTTCCTCAGTTGATGCCAAAACCCGTGAGGTGGAGGACTTAAGATATTTATTTGCAGAAGATGTGGTACTCTAACATAATACTGTGAAGTAATAACACGATATGCTTTATTTGCACCTTTGGATTGTTTTAATCAGTATTTAAATACACATCACAATAAGATTTGGGGTCTGATCCCGTTATTACAATAGTGGAATTAAATTTTCAATCAGTTAATAATACCAATAACTAAGTAAAATATTTAAATATGATATTTTACTGAAATACTATTGTTTTCTTTTTTCTTTCTTTTTAAAAATACAACTTCCGTACTAGGAATATAATCCTGTGTCGCGGGGGACTTTACAAACATACATGAAACGGACACAGAGAACACACAGACTCAGAACAACAATTTGTGGTTCGCGGAAAGTGTCGTCCCATGTGGGGATCGAACCCACAACACTCAGCGTAGTAGAAAGCGGCGTGGCGACCGCTTAAACCACTACGCCATCCGTGTAATAATGTAAATATGCAGGTGTTGTCTTTTTTTAAAGATCAAAAAATATTAAATTCAAATAGAAAATAAATAAAACTCTCTGACTGAGCACGGTACCTAGCTCCCAATCATAGATTAATGTGGTCAGAAGTACAATTGGTTAGGCTATCTAGATTTCCTACTTATAGGAAATGGGGCCTTATATAAGAATCGCTTAAATTAGGAAATATATGTGTTTGACCACTATATTTATAAAAAGGGCTAAATAACAAAAGTCTCAAAATTACAATAAATTTGCTATTTCTTCTACACTCAGTACTGTAACGGATACAGTTCTTCAAAGATCTTCAACCTGTCTTCTTTCAAGTTTTGTTGCACGGAGAAGCTTTTGTCAAGTTTCACATAATTTCTCTCGTCAGACTTCATGACTTGCCAAGTCAGAGATGATATCTCTGGAGTATCTGGACGAGGGTTCGGGTCACTGGAGAAGAATGAGATTATTTAATTACACAATCATATAGTATGTAACTTATATTGTTAGTTCCTGAAAAAAAATATTAGCACAAATAGTATAATATATTATTGCTATTATAATTCTGGCAGGCTTTTATTTTATTTTACTTTTCAGAGAAAACTAATAACTAAACGGGGTTGGAAAAATATTATTTTAAAGACTTTTGCAACTACTTCTTTTCCTATTTGGTAAGATTTTTAGAGATTAGATTAAAGATTTTTTTTTTTTTTTTTTTTTTTTTTTTTTTTTTTTTTTTTTTTTTTTTTAAAGACAACTCCCGCATTAGGGAAATATCCTGTGTCGCGGGGGACTTTACAAACATACATGAAACGGACACAAATAACACCCAGACTTGGAACAACAGTTTGTGGATCACACAAAGTGTCGTCCCATGTGGGGTTTGAACCCACAACACTCGGCGTAGTAGGAAGCGGCGTGGCGACCGCTTAAACCACTACGCCATCCGTGCAGTCAAAAATTTTTGGAACAAAGTTCGCTATCGCGCGTTACACACTTTGAGCGGCACTTTAAAGCAGACTGCCAAACAGCGAACTTTGTTCCAACCTTGGGTCTATAGACCCCTCACGCTGTTTTGGAACGAAGTTCCTTATCGGGCGTAACAAGCTTTGAGCGGATGGGAGCGAGACCGATAAATGTGTAACAAGACTCTTTTCCGACACTTTAAAACAGACTGTTAGGTAAACGTCTACCAAAAAGCGAAAGGAGCTTTGTTCCGACCGAGAGTCCATAGACCAGTCACACAGCTTTTTTTTTTTCATTTTTTTTTGTTTTAATTCTCTGGCTGCCTGTATAGGTCTGTGATACAATGCGTAATTAAATTCTAATTGTTCAGTACGTACGATAAGTAAAATATATTCAAGAAAATCTTTCTGTCCTTTTGTAAATTGTATTTGTGGCTTTAAATTGCAAAGAAGACAAACTTTTTTAGAATGTGAGATGGCAAATGGTCTCCTTCTAAGCAACAGACCAGAAAGCAGGAATAACGAGTGTTAACAAAGAGTGATCATGCTTATACAATATAAATAAAGTGTTTTATTGTTTATGACGTGATTAACATACCCAAATCTAGCGAAGTTGTACCATATGGCTGTCATCTTGTCAACCATGTGAGAGTCTTCCGTGTTAGCGACATCTATTATCGGGAAGCGGTAGCTCATCGAAAACAAGTAGATTAGATCGTCGTGATGTGACACTCCTGGGAATTAAAGAATATATGTTCATGTTCATGCTTCATATATTTTTTGCGATTGCACGCATGCGCATGGGTTCGGCACTGCGATTGGTCGTGTTGAAATCTGCACCAATCGCAACGCCAAACGCGCTCGCTGTCGAGAGCGAGTTGATGTAAAATAAACTTGCATTAGGCGGTAATAAGTGTAAAGGTTTCAAGGTTCACGTCTGCATTTGCATTTCTTTATTTTACCCTTTTTTTTTGAAATCCCCTCGGATACCACCTGTCGGTGGCATGTCGGACTCGAACCGACTAAAACCGCACGGAAAGAAGTACCCTAGAAAGGAAGTCCCTGGTGCCCCGACATACCTCGGGTCATCTACAGACTAGTAGACGACCCCCCCCCCCCCGTGTGGGAACCCCATGTTCCCTGTGCTCCCTGGAAGCGAGCGCGCTTCGCAACGCGCTCGCCGCCATCTTTATTCTACCCTAACTTATACTTCTAACAGATTTCGGTGTCTGGCGTATCATCATCTCCCGTAGAAGGAAAACTTGATACAAACCCTATACCAATCCGTCTTGCCAACGTGGTATACTCGTAGTAGGCCAAAACCTCCTCTCTAAGGAGAGGCCTATGTCCGGCAGTGGACTAACTACTAAAGGCTGTTGATGTGATGAATTTGTCAATTGATGAACTGCTTGGTTAGTAGATCTTTTAGGTCTAAAACTGTGTCGATTTTGTGATGGCAAATGGTTATCTTCAAGGTATTTAGGTAGTACAATTATAGACGTGTCACCACCATCCCGTGGGTGTCGTAAGAGCCGACTAAGGGAGTAAACTACGCAGGACAACAGCAATGCAAAGAGAAGGAAAACTTGACAATAACCCCTCTTTTTTGTTTTTTTTTTCTGTGCGGAAATCCCCTCGGATACCACCTATCGGTGGCATGTCGGACTCGAACCGACTAAAACCGCACGCCGTCTCGGGAATAATCTCTAATAGCCGGGAAACCAGGTATACCCTAGAAAGGAAGTCCCTGGTGCCCCGAACAATAACCCCTCCTAGCGCCTGCCCGCAACGGCGCAGGGTGAGGGTATAAATCTTTTTTGCTCTCGGATATCTGCAGATACAAATATCTGGCTGATCACCAAATAATATGGGTAAACGAGAAGGAGTTTCATTCGAGATAATAATGTGGCTTGTTGGTCTGGTGGCTACCAATCCTGCTGCTAAGCCAGAGATCGTGAGTTCGATTATCACCTAAGACAAAAATATTATGTGATGAGCACGTATATTTGTTCTGTGTTTGTGTGTATGTGTTTAGAAAGATATATGAAAGTTTATTTAGTTTATTTATACGAGGAAATAATAGATGTGTATTACGTGAAAGAGATTTGAATTTATGTTCGACAAAATTTTTGCGTTTAAGAGTCTGTTTACCCCTTCGAGTATGTACGTATGTATTTATTATATTCGTGCCTATGTTACTCTCTGATAATGTAGTTTTCCATTGGTAAAATAATTATTAAAATCGGTTTCTTTTTCTCACGATTAGGTCTTCTGGTGGTGGGGTCTTCATAGTGACTACGGTTGCCGATGTACGCGAACTCAGCGTAGTACACGGGCTGCTTTGAGTGCCGACACATCAGGTTCGCCATCCTATTGAATAACTAGAGTTAATCATAACCATTAATGCTAAATCTACATTGAAAGAGGCAGAAGCTTACCTAACACTATTCCACATGCCAATAGTTCAGAAAAACCCCAGTAAGAAGACTTGGCAAATACAGGAAAATAAGAAGCTGTGGTTGGTGATGAACGTGAACCAGAGGTTGTGGGTTCCATCTATTGTGTGATGGGTACGTTTATTTGTTTTGTTTCTGAGTGTAATTTATGTATAATATGTTTCATTTAGAAATATAGTAGTGTGTTTGTCAGCGGTTTGGTTGTTATAGTACAGGTTTTGCCTAGTTTGGGATCAGACGGTCGAGTAAGCGTCTGAAATTGTTACAAAAATACTTTATTATTAGGATTTGATGCACAGTGAATACAGTATTACAGTACTCACCCGTAAGGCCACAGAGCAGGATCGGGAGAGGGCCGATCCTGCTCGAAAGAGAGGCAGAGACGCGTCAGAGGTCGCTAGCAACCCAGTCGCCGCCTAAGGGGACATGTAGACCCGAGACAGATAAAATTTCGGTGTTCCCAGGGGGGGGAGGGTCTTCCAAGACGGGGGGGGGGGGGCGCTGTTGCGTCTCTTACTGTGAAGAGCAGTGAGCCGCGGCAGCGTCCCGCCCCAGGGTGAATACGGTCACCCCAGGATGTGCTTCAGACATGGATTCCCGGACACGTCCTGCGTTTCCCCAACGGAGGGTATAATGCGAAAGCATTCCAAAAGTAAAAAAACAGTACTCACCCGTAGATGCGTAAGTTCACCAAAGCTGTTAGCTTTATCGTAGACAGGGTTGATAACGCATATCGGACAGAGATATCGTTGCGATTCTTTTTGAGCAGACTTACTATTGATAAGATTGATTGTTTGCCACTTCCCCTTGAGCCATTGCGTGCACTATAGAATACGAGAGTTCACTTACCTATGTACGGGGAAAGAGGTAATAGCGTCAGCATAAAGCTTCCCAAGACTATCAGCGGTCTTCTCATCCTTGGCCAGCTCAGCATCTCCAAAGTAGGCCTGCCGTAGCTTAGCCAAGCGATGGTGGGTCTCGTTACGAGGAAGCGCGAAGGAAATAGGAGCCACTGTATCCCATTCTGTATTCATAGCGTTCAGGAGTGTCTTGTTCTCTAGTATTGCTAGAAATCAAAAGAAAACGAAAGTATTTCTTCAAAAGGTTTCGTTCGTTCGTTCGATTCGTTCATTACATCACATCATTTTTTATGTTGTACGCTTAGATCTTCTAAACCAAGCAACGGATTTTAATACGGTTTTCACCAATAGAGAAAGTGATCAAGAGGAAGGTTTATATGTATTACATCACATCAAAAGCCACTGCTGGACGTAGGCATCTCCTTAGAAAGAAGGTTATGGCCTACTATACGACGCTGGCCAGACGTATTGGTGTAGGGTTTGTTTCAAGTTTTCCTTCTCTTTGCAGTGCTGTTTTCCTACGTAGTTTGCTCCCTTAGTCGGCTCTTGCGACACCCACGGGATGAATAGAGGTGGTGACACTCTGTATTCTTAAAACGTCACCACACGGATAAATAATAATAATTATATTCTATCACATTCACACAACGCCATCTAGTCCCAAACTAAGCAGAGCATATTTATATTAAGCAGATTTATATTAAGCAGAGAATGGGCTACTAGACAATTGATATAAATATATATACTTTATTTTGTAAATACAAACATATTATACAAAGAAACACCCAGACCAAATCGAACATTAAATGTTCATGCACACAAATGTTTGACTTGAGTGGGCATCGAACCCGCGACCTTCGACTACGCCATCCAGTCGTTCAAATTATTAGTAATATACAATAATAATGCAAATACATAGTAGGCGTAGTAGTCACTTACTAAAAGGTGGACCATATCTTCCTTTGCTTCCTATACTATAAAAATAACAACTAGCAAATCTGTTCTTAGAGATCTGATATTGTGTGAACAGAACACGAAACAAAGTCCAGAAATGACAACCATCTGAAATATAAGACTACGAGGATATGGTTTTTTAACCTTGATTTCTAAATAAAACACTACCTTCGGGGCCTACCAATTTGGAGGAGAAGATATGTATAATTGTATGCTGAAAAAATGTTTTTTGCACTAACTGAAAGCTTTCCAGAAGAACTCATCGGAAGTTTGACTGATGATGAATGGTACTTCGTGCATTTTGCCTTGTCTGATAGCGTCCATCGGCTCCATGTCTAAAAACCGCTCTTGGCCAAAATCTAGCTCAACGATATGACGAAATAGAGTGAGAGGATCATAGCCGAACTCCTGAAGATTTAATGAATTTGATTAATTTTTTTTAGAGTTTTGTACATACAAATACGTGTCTTAGACATATAAGAATAGTCAGAATATTATACACAAAACAGGCCTCGGCTGTCTCATTGTGTTTTTCCACTGCTCCTCTCCCAAAGCTAGAATTCCGATTCCGACACTGGGCGGTCGCGGTAGCGTACACCATTTAACCAGAATACCATGACTACCAGAACTAAAATTATAGATACATAAAGTAGTCATTTAATGTGCCTTAGCCTCCTTCTTTTTGGTATTGGTGTCACATCGTCAGCACATCAACAGCCTTTAATTGGTTGGTATAGGATTTGTGTCAAGTTTTCCTTCTCTTTACAGTGCTGTTGTCCTGCGTAGTTTGCTCCCTTAGTCGGTTCTCATGACACCCACGGGATGAATAGGGGTGGCGTCACACCATATTCTTAATCCGTCACCACACGGACTATTGATAGTGGAAGGTATTGGTTAAAATCTATGTATATATTTACGTAGGCCGTAATACCACCTACGTAAAAGCCAAGTAGTGATCCGGCGATTTCACTCCAATCTTTAGTCTTGAGACATTCGAACAATGCGGTGGTGTTGTCAACAGGACACTTGGATATCTTGGCTTGCTTCTCTGCTAAGTCCAGGCGACTTGTGGGACTTGGTACTTTGGCCGTCGCACCTCCAGACATTGCGATAGCTCGGTGGAACAGACCTACAAAGAGAATTAATAAGGTAAACATAATATAACATTCAGGATAGTTGGCGCTCCTTGGGGGAAGCCTTCGTCGACAGGCAATAGGCTGATGATGAAGGCTGCAAAAGTTTATACAATGGCAAGTTGTAGTGGTCATTGATATAAAACAAGATATTCAAACGGTCGAAATTTAACCTTAATGTTATCTCTAGTGAATACCATTACAAACAATAAAGTAATCTTTGCAACAGTCCTCTTATCCTGCTGGCGGTAGTGTCATGCTTCGGGTCGTTGATCTTGACCAATATCGGTTAGGCTACACGATGGCTGGAGCCTGTATGCCGTCTGTATGGACAGGTTGACTCAAAACTATGGTCCTTTCCTCAAAAGGCCTATCCAGACCCTATACTGTACTCGCACAGTTTTATTTAACTTTGTTTCCGGACTTAAAAAAAAAAACACCTCTGTGGTTTGTTTCGGCGTTTCTTCCCAGAGTGAGTCTTAGGAAATGCAGGCTCCTTCTAGCTATAAAGTCCGACTTGTAAAAATATCTGAAAAGATTTACTTACAGAAATAAATATCATTTCATTTCATCATTTAATTTCATTTCATTTCATTATGTTCTGGATTTAAGTTTTAGGTTAAGATAGCGCTGTGGAATATACCCCAGAGAATACAAAACATACCTTTGGACATGGGTGATACCATATGTAGCATAACACTGACGGAGCCAGCGCTGCATCCACTTATCGTCACTAGGTTGGGATCCCCTCCGAAGCCGGCAATGTTTCTCTGCACCCATTTCAGTGCCACCACCTGGTCCTTGAAGCCGTTGTTCCCTGGCGCTAACTTGTTACCCAAGGATAGGAAACCTGGCGGAAAACAGAAACTATTAATTCAGTACTATTGATAAATGAACCGGTATGACACTTCAACGGGTTCTGTTGGTTGCTAATAGATACATTTTTCTCGTATAATTATAATTTAGACGGGACACAGATGGTAAGGGTCACAGAGGTTAGGGATTTAGGGGTTTGTGTTAACACTGAGCTAAGATTTCGTGATCACATAGTGAAATGCTGTAAAAAAGCTTATAGGAATTTGGGTTTTGTTTTACGAACAGTAAAGGACTTTAGAAACCTAAATACAATTATAGCATTGTATAACGCGTTGGTAAGAAGTCAGCTAGAGAGTAACGCAGTCATCTGGGCCCCACATGAAGCTAAATATAGCCTCATGTTGGAGCGAGTTCAAAATAAATTTGTTAGGTTTTTGTACTTCAGATACTATGGAGTATACCCATTGTATCCATTAATGTATCCCACGTTATTTATTCTGGGTATGGTGGGATACAATGAACTGAGGGTCAGAAGGGAACTCACACTCGTCTCGTACCTGTTTAGGGTACTTAGGGGTGGGATACATAATGAAGACGTGTTAGGACGAGTCAGCATATGTGTTCCGGACAGATACGTGTGGCGGCGCCGCCGGCCGCCGCTGCTGGCTGTCCCGTGCGGGCGCACCAACCTGCAGAGAGAAGCACCGCTGACGCGCGCACTACGTACTCTGAATATAATTGCGGACGAAGTAGATCTATTTTATTGCTCACTGAGTGAATTCACAATAACAGCATTAAGAATTATTTCTTATAATAAATAAGTAGATGGTAAAACACTATTGCATTGGGCTAAGCCTGTAAAAATAGTTGTTTTTAAAGAAAATAAATAAATAAATAAATAATTTTTTGCAAAGAGTTTTAAACCTTGCCCGCTTACACCCCGCCCTCTAAAACTTTGTTAATTCTGTGCAGAGCAAGAGTGTTTTTTTGGACAACTTGGAAGATCTTAGTATAATTGCGAATTTGATAGAATTCCATTGACATCCTAAAGATCTCACTAAACCTGTAGAATCCTTTTTACCTTTCGGAATTTCAAGTAGGTTCTAGTTAAAGCACTTGCCGTAGGCTCATATAACTTAGCCTATCTGGCAGGGTTTTTAAATTAACTTTAAAAGATATTCTGGTAGAACGTTACTCAGGAAGGGACTACGGGAGAACTATAGCAGTAGATAAAGTATTGCAGGATTTCCAGAAGGATTGCAAGGGAAATGAAGGAATAAGAAAGAGGCTATACAGCAAATGGTATAGGGTTGTTTTGGGAATTAATAGGGGCAATATACCTACATGTATCAAGAGGGTGCAATTTATAAATAAAAACCGAATAGCAACAATATTCATAGACAGAAGACTTACCCAAAGACCCAAGTCTATAGTTAATGGTGACGAGGACCACATCTCTGTCGAGAAGATATTGTGGTCCGGCGATGTCACTGCGTCCCGAAAATGTGTAAAACCCTCCCGCGTGGATGTAGAATATTACTGGCAACAGCTTGGAGCTGCGAAGATAAAACAATATTTAATTAATAATATAAAATAATTTTCACTGAGCTGCCTATGAGAGAGGCCTATGTCCAGCAGTGGACTGCGATAGGCTGATGATGATGATGATGATGCCTATGAGTTAAAACATGTTCAAAATCGGATTACTAGTTTCAGTGCCTCAACATCCATTTTTCATTTTGCAACATTATTCATATTTATTGTAGGAGATAAGGCAAAGATAAATTCTAGGGTAGACTGTTCTGTGTCTGACTTTTGCTCTTGGGTCCTTGCGTCTGGTGGACAGTAATAAGTTTCTGGATTATAGGTACCCGATGTCCTTTTCTTTAACCCCAAAGTAATAATAATAATATTTTTTTATTGACATAGAAAAGAAGTACAATGCTGACATACATAATACATATTATCACAACAGCATCAGTGAAAACTTAAGCAGTCGAGCTCTGGCACCCATTGTAAGATTTAACTTGAGTCATGGGTACCAGTTCTTCTCACAATTTTAGACGTGTATGTGCGTGCGTGCGTGCGTCTCTCTCTCTCTCTCTCTCTCTCTCTCTCTCTGTGTGTGTGTGCGTGTGTGTGTGTGTTTAGTTTTATAGCATTGTGAGTCTCATTAATTTCTCGGTTGTGTCGTAATCCTGTTCAAGTAACCAGTTCATTACTTTGGATTTGCTTCTTGGTAAGGATTCTATTTTGTACCTATTATTACTCGGAGTGTAGACATTGACCGTGAGACAGTCTTCGTCGATGTAGTAACCTGGGCTCGCTGGCCGGGGACATGATGGACCCTCTTGACTTGCGTCTATTACCTGTTCATACGTCAAGATGGGTTCCGGTGGCTGTGAAATGTGAAACGGAAGGGTTATCAACACTATTCTATCATATTATGGCAGGCCTGTTAGTTTAGTGGTTAGTTGATCCTGTCTGCTAAGCCAGAGGTGGTAGTTTCGATTCCCACACGGGACATATGTATATTGTATGATGAGAACGATCTTTTGCTCTGTCTAGATGTAATTTATTTATAATACTAGCTTTTCCCTGCGGCTCAGCCCTCGTTTATATCGGTTTTCGTGGTAAAAAATAGGCTATGTTACTCTCTGATAATGTAGTTTTTACCTGGTGAAAGAAAATTTTATAATCGGTTGAGTTGTTTAGGCGTGACAGCGTAATAAACAAGAGTTTGTTTGTACTTTGAGATTTATAAGTATGAATGTATGTATTTAATTAAATTATAAGTATGTTTATCAACTGTCTGGTTACGATAGTATAGGCTTTGCCTATTTTGGGATCAGACACGTATGAGAAATGTGTGAGGTTATTATTATTATCAATATTTAATTATTTATTCTACCCTAAAGTATAAAGTATTATTAAGTTAGAAATAGTTTCATACCTGAAATCTTAACTCTCCTACAGGTGCTTTAGCGTAGCGTATACCCCTGTAGGACTGGAAGCGCCTCCCACGGCGGGTGTGTTGCCAGGATCCTTTGAACGTGCCTGACACACTACATGTAACTGGGTTATCATTATCAGTTCCTGGATCTGGAAACATGAAATGCTTGATAGGAATCGTATTTGCGCATTTCTATGTCAAGTGAACGTGACTTTCTAGTTAATATATACACACATATATGAGGTTTACAACTATCCAAATAATGGGCACACTGACCGATAGGTAGAACTCATCCATTAGAGATTCAGAACACTGAAAAATCTAGTTTTATTGAAAAACCGAGGTTTATAAGAGGCAGGCCCGTCTCTAATCTATTGGGGGCCCTGGGCAAAATAGCATAATGGAGCCCCCCCCCCCTGCGAACTTAGCTGAGCACTATTTTGTTACAATAGACAAAAAATATTGTAGTCAGTCATTACAAATGGATTTGTCGAAATAATTATGTTTTTCGGTGATAAATATTGATTTTCTCAAATCTCAAATACATTTATTGCATTCCATAATGTGATACAGATGTCAAGCTTATAATTAAGTTACAATTATGGACCCTGTCGGTCACAGCACAATGTTAGGAGAGAGGAAGAGTTTATTACAATTATTATTGCCGCTATAAATGTATACACACAAAAATTGGATTCAACTATATATAATTTGGTTTTGTTTTAATAGTGTTTTTAATTTAGTCAATATTACTTCATGTTGAGAATGACTCATATTTATATACAATTATAAGTTAGTAAATGCAATTTAAATATCAATTATTATTTAACAATGTTTGTATGATATTAAATGTCGTTCACATACACAATACAATAGAACAAATTGCGTTAGTCTAATGCTAATAATTATCATTTCATACAATGGAAACTACACTAAGTAAAGTTTGTTATAATTTTAGTATTTGTTCTAAATTAAATATTGATAGCGCTTTATGTATTATTCGATTATTGTTTAATGAAATATGCATTTGGAAATTATTATCGTGGATTCTGTCAATAGTTTGTAATTATTGTTTATCATGTAAGTATTCTTGTATGCTGTAGTAGCTTTTACTGACTAGATTTTTTTTTAGTTTATCAACAAAGATGTTGGTTTTTTCTTCTTTTTTTATGGACTTTGGCAACTTATTGTATATTTTTATTGACATGACCAATAATTATAATATAATTTTCGATTGGTGATTTGACAGGAATCGGGCACTTATCGATCGAGGGACCCTGGGCGCGTGCCCAGAGTGCCCAGTGGGAATGAGGGGCTTGATAAGAGGAACACCTTAGCGTAACTTTGTAAACTTTCCGTAAGTGAGAACACTTCCCTCCAGTCGTATTGGTTTCTTTCTGTTGTTTAATAATCATGATCTTACTAGATTAGAATCTAATTTTAAATTATAATGTAGATCCTTCTGTAAGTCCTAATCAATTTTTATATCTATAGGACGACATAAAACCCAAGTTTTTGTGTAGGGTTGTTCAGGGCGCAATTCTTAACTAAGAAGATTGTATTTGAGTTAAGATTCCGCTTTGAATTAAACTATTAAATGTGTTATTGTTTACAAAACAGACCTTGATATTGCCTCTCACACACTACACACACAAATAACACACATAGCAATATACTATGAAACATTATCCTCTTCGGTTCGCACAGAAACTGCGCGTTCCGTTCTGTCTGCTCACTTATATAGCACTTATACCTATGTGTGTTGGTTTGTGAGTATGTTTTCATAGATCAGCATTGAAGGGGTATTCTGTAAATATGTGTACTATTTGGAAACTTTGGGTTTGCTATTTTGTTTATAGTTTTATTTGTTGTTGTAGGACTACATAGCTTACATCGGACAGTATAATCGGATATTGTATATTTGTTTCAATGATAAACTCAATCAAGACACTGAGTTTTATCTAAAAGTGTTTCTTCACACATAAAGTAAATATACCTTATCAGATATTATTACATATGAAATGCATATTAAGTAAAAAAATGATCATCTACACAAAGGTCGTAGGATTAAATTAATGTTTTGGATGTGGTTCGGGGAATTCTTTTAGAAATATTGCGAAACTGAAAGGAGGAGAATATCACGGTATGCCGCGTGTTATATCCGTGTTACGTATTCAGTAACTTCTAAAGTGACTGAGTGGAGACATAAATTGTAAAGTAAAAATATTGTAGAGTAGGAAAACTATTCAAGTAATATATGGGTATGTGTGTACCCACCGCGTCACATTACGCGTTATTAGTGCCACGCATCAGCAATAGATGGCGTTACTACAAAAATATTTATTTACTACATGTGTCATTGATCTATTATACTTGTGTAGTACAATAAAAAGAATTAATAGAAATACTGCTCGGCGGGAAAACCAAGTGCTTTTTTAACTACGCGTTTAATTAGAAGTCATAGTTTGTGTTTGATTATATTTAAGTAAATATTATGTGCGCTACCGTATTGGCTACCCAGTTTTCTTTCTTTTTTCTTATCTAGGGATAGGGGAAAAAGGGGTAATGAGAGTTACTTAAGCAAATATAAAAAAAACATAAAATATGTTTTTAACTGTCGCCATCGTCATCACATATCTGATTAAGACTAAAATCTCATTTTGTGGAATCTTTGGTAGCTATTACTTTTCTAACAGGATCTTGTATCTTAAGCAGTAAGAGTTTTTTTGTTTTCTGTGCGGAACTGCCCTCGGATACCAACCACAAGTGGGTGGTCTCCAGGTACCAGTAGCCGGGAAACCAGGTCCCTAGAAAGGAAAGCCCTGGTACTCAGTTTTACCACCTTTTTTTTTTTTTTTTTTTCCATGCGGAAATCCCCTCAGATAGCACCTGTCGGTGGCATGTCGGACTCGAACCGACTAAAACCGCACGCCGTCTCGGGTACTAATAGCCGGGGAACCAGGTATACCCTAGAAAGGAAGTCCCTGGTATCAGTTTTACCACCTGGTTAAAACTTGAAAGGTATATGAATTGGTTTAATAGCTTCCTTAATAGAGTGGCCTTGACTCATGGGTTCTGCTTATTTTAATAATGTGTTAGTCGACCGTGAAGCCTTATTTGTGACAGTGGGCGTATTTATCCGTGTGGTGACGGATGAAGAATACGGAATGTCACCACCCCTATTCATCCCGTGGGTGTCGTAAGAGTCGACTAAGGAAGCCAACTACGCAGGGCAACATCACTGCAAAGAGAAGGAAAACTTGAAACAAACCCTACATCAACCCGTCTGGCCAGCGTGGTATAGTAAGCCAAAACCTCTTTTCTAAGGAGAGACCTATGTCCAGCAGTGGACTATTATAGGCTGTTGATGTGATAATATCACGTGATGTACCTAATAAATAATGACAATATAATTAATATTTAATCATGTCACGTAATTTTAATGGGCAGTCGGAAATAACTTCCATTGGCCGCGTTGCGGTGATTCTTAATATCTGATAATACTTGTATTACTATTATTATTATTTTATTTGACGGTGGATCGCTTCGCATCTCCTGATTCTTGGGGACTCAGGAAACTAAGAGTATGTGGTGATTCCACTAAAAAATACCCCGACGACCGGCCTTAGGCACCCTACTCTGAGAGGACCCTGTCCATGTAATTTCAGGTCCTCCCTAAATCGACACCACGCCTAATCAGGCCCTATCTCGGGCGAAAAGATTTCCTCCCCTCAACCGCGGCATTGCCGCCCGATTGCGTCTTGATGTGATCAGGCCGCCACAATTAATCTGCCATAAGAGGTCCCCACTCTCTGGCGGCCCGTGGCTCCGTCGATGGCTGATATCGCCGCCGACGTCCTCTACGCTCAGGACCGGCCTTCTCCCGATCCCATTCCCATTCAGTTTCTTTCTGGAGCATTACAGCTTCACAGAAAGAGAGCATTGCGTACTCGATTTTACTTAATGTGTAAGAAATGAAAATAAACATATAGTTTGTTATTAAAACACAAAAAATATTTCGTAATGAATAATTTAAGGTCATAGGCACACAATGAACTATTACTAATACTTTGATATAACAATGTATGTATCTCTTACTCTAGCCTGGCCAAACAGGCATACGAATGGGCCAGGACGACTATGCTCTCAGCATCTGTCTCTCCCACGACACAGAACAGCAGAGTTCAGAGGTAGTTTCCGGTATGCAGCGACTAAATGTTGGAACAATATTCCTCCACCAGTAAGAAATTGTAAAAGTAGTAAGACATTCAGGATAAAATTGAAAGGTTATCTGCTTTTGCATCAAAAAGAATTTGAGAGTGTCCAGATTTCAACATCTGCCATTTAAATATTGTTTCTATTTAATTTCCTTACTGAGCACCGACAGTCGCAATGTTTTGTTTTTTTATTGCATTTTTTCTTTTTTCTTTCATTTTTCTTTTACTTATTTTAGACACCTATTGTTCAGATTAGTTTTTTCTCACTTCCTTATTTTATTATAGTGATATGTCGTACAAACATATATGTTTACACACACACACACAATCACACACTTGAATGGTTTCGAGCTGACAACATCTAGTCATATGGGCTACAGCCGAAAACCAGCGTTGGAAGGCACCTGTGGCCATCAAACAGTATGCTGAGCTGCAGTCCTATTGGCACTTTTTGTAAATAATTTTGTATGTGCTAATAAATTTTCTTTCTTTCACTTATTGCGTGTGTGTGTAAGCCATCAGGTAGTCAAAGGATCTCGAGCTATCGCCTAACGAATCTTAAAGGACATTAATCAGTTGTTTAGGTTCCTACTTGTGCTCAGGTGTAGACAGTTGACTACCATTGCCCATTGATTCCCATTACCCCTTTTTCCACTACACAACAGTACAATAGGGTGAATTTAACCAGAAAATAAGTTAAAGAAGATACGGGCATTTAAATAAATTACATAGGAAAGTTCTCAATGAATGTTTATTAACAACATTTACTAAACAACATGACGATAAAGGTCTAACGCAAGGCTTCATCCGGGTTTGTTTCATACAAAATACCTATAAAGGAAAATCTATTTTCTTTATATTTTTTTTATTGAACATTTTTCGAATTGGGTTTTGAATGTAGCAATCGAACTAAACTTAACTAGGTGCAAATAAAAAAGAAAGCTTGTTTAAAATGTTTAATCAAATTAATCATATATATCTTATAGAAAAATCTTAATTGTAAACTCTTGTGTGCCACCATAACAACGAAATAAAACTAATTATTTTTACAAATTCTTATCATTCAGAAGATTTTCACCAAGTCGCTCTGCTAATCCTTAACTTCTACTGACATCCAATTGTCAACCTAATACTGTATAGGATAAAGTTCTTCCCAAACTCTGAACCGATCTTCAAACATGTTTTGTCTTACAGTGAGCTGGTTTCCTAGGTGCAGGAAGTTTCTCTGGTCTGGTTTCATAGTCGGCCATTTTAAGGAGCCTAGTTCTGGAGTATCGCTTTTGGGGTTCGGGTCTCTGAGGAGATAATATATGGTTAATAAAGTAAACAGTCGCAGCGAATAAATTCTGATGTAGTTTTAATGAGTCTTTTTACTAAATATTTTCAAATCCAGTTCCAATTAAGGCTTCTCAATTGCTCAACCAATTTTTGTTACAAAGAAAAAGCATGTAAACGAAGCGACGAGAACTTAACCAAATTTCTTAAAAATATTTACTTAAATAGTACATTAATTTTTATTAATAGCAACCCCCAAGATTAATATAAACCGTTTCCAGAAAATAAATAGAATTTTCTTCCAACAATTCTAATCTAAGGTAATGTAATGTTAAGGAGGGTGTGGTCCTACATCTTCAGAAAATAAGACACATACCCGTATCGCGCAAAATTGTACCAGATAGCTGTCATCTCATCTACAACATGCGAGTCTGGGCTGTTCGTCTCAATGACTGGGAAATTGTAGCTCTGCCTGAACACATACAGAGTGTCGTCGTGATGAGAAGCACCTGCGAAAAAAAATATCAAACATTTTTAAGCGGAATTCAACATGATAGCAAAATCTAGCATTGGGTTGCAGGCTTAATATTTGTATCGGTGAATACGAATGTTTCTTTGTATCATATCATCATCAACCGCCTTTAATAGTCCACTGCTGGACATAAGCCTCTCTTTAGAAAGGAGGTTTTGGCCTACCATACCACGCTGGCCAGACGGGTTGGTATAGGGTTTGTGTCAAGTTTTCCTTCTCTCTGCAGTGCTGTTGTTCTGCGTAGTTTTCTCCCTTAGTCGTCTCTTACGACACCCACGGGATGAATAGAGGTAGTGACAATCTGTATTCTTAATCCGTCACCACACGGACTTGTATCATATGTATTTATTTAAAAGGGGGGAAGACTCTGGCTTCCCTGGGGATAGGGCCTAGTAGGTGCGGTGTCGATCAGGGGGACCTGAAACTACATGGTCCGGGTCCTCACCTCTCCTTAAGGCCCGACGTCATTTAAAAAGTATTTTGAATATTTATTTGTGTTATAGAGACTGTTTTTCAAAATATATTTTCAGTATTGTTAGCTTTGGTAATATGTCTCAAAACTGTTCCCTGAAAAGGATTGGCCCCTGGTCTAGTTTGGTTGGTTAGTGACCCTGACTGCTAAGCCGGAGTTCGATTCTAAACCAGGTCAAATACTTGTGTGATGAGCATATGATCATTTGTTCTGTGTCTGGATGTAATTTATGTATAACATGTATGTATTTAGAAATATATCGGTATGTTTATCAGTAGTCTGATAGTAGGGACTCTGTCTGCTCTGCTTCACTATGTTTCGAATGGCTTCAACAGTGGATGACGAGTGGGTTTACTAAGAGTAATGAGTACCTTGAGGTTTTCCATCAGCGTCCTCGTAGTAGCTATCTTGCCCGATGTACGCAAACTCGAGGTAGTACACCGGCTGCTTCGAATGGCGACACATCAGATTTGCCAACCTGTCCAACGCAAAATATTACAATAAATAATTTCCTTAAAGTTCTACAAATTTAAAAGACTGACTAGAGAACTTTGTGCTTAAAGATTGAAAATAGAAAGAGAAGGAGACACGAAAGTACAAGAGCGAGAAAGAGAGGGCATCAGGAGGAGAAAAGTGAGACGTAGGGAGATTGAATTTTACCTGTGTACTCCAAAACCGATGATAGAGTCTCTGTACAAGTTCTGAAGCCCTTCTAGACTTTCGGTGTTATTCTCCAGTTTCTTATTGTTGAAGTAACTCTCCCGTAACCTTCTCACCGCCGTCTCAGAGTTCTCCTTCGGCAGTAAGAAAGAGATAGGTGCTATGCGCTCCCATTCGTTGTTCATTGTATTCATAAGAGTTTCGTTTTGGAACACCGCTGCAGAAAAAGATAGACATTTGTAAACAATATTTTGGTTAATGTGTGGGCCAATTTTCGCACTATAACTCTGGCACGCTTGTGAAGTTGTTTGCTAGCATTGTTATTATTTCAAATGAAAGAAATATTCATTCACTGAAATCAAAAGTGTTTAATTTCCACTTAAGTAAGGGTAAGAGTGAATTTCGAGTGTAACTTAGGCAGGTTCTAACATTTAAAAAGGCCAAATTGATTATTACATGATTACATAGATAAACTTTCTGTCTTCTTTTTATAATGAAAAGCAAAATAATATTAGTCATACTTACGGAATGCTTTCCAGAAGAACTCATCCGTAGTTTGGCTAATGATGTAAGGTACCTCATGCATCATGCCCTGCTTAATGGCGTCCTCGGGCTGAACAGACAGAAACCGCTCCTGCCCAAAGTCTGGCTCCACAACTGGACCCCACAAACCAACTGGATCACCCGGGCCAAACTCCTGGAAAACAAGTCTTCTGTGTTATAATATTTATGGTTTTAAATAGGTTTGGGTTTCATTTGATCTATTAGTAGAACGACGAATTTGGGAATGTTTTATGTTTGATGTTGTTAAACTCTTCCATGAATTTGTACTCTGAAATGAAGGGCCTATAGTTGCAAGTGCCCACTAATAGTGGACAACGGTATAACTGCAAGAAAATTACACTGTTACAAAATCCACTATGAAGTTTACTAAGAATAAACTGAGGAGTTGCAAGTTCAACTAATGATTTTTATAAATTGGAAGAGCGCTAGCGACTTAAATAATATAATAATAATATAATATAATATTCTACCACATTCACACAACGCCATCTAGTCCCAAACTAAGCAGAGCTTGTACTTTGGGTACTAGAGAACTGATATAAATACATTTATACTTTTTTTTTGTAAATACATACATATTATACATAGAAACACCCAGACCAAATCAAACATTGTAAGTTCATGCACACAAATGTTTGACTTGAGCGCAAACCCGCGACCTTTAGAATAGCAGTCCGTTACACAAACCACTATGCCATCCGGTCGTCAATGACATACTGAATTCATTACATCGCCAATAATTTGATTGAAATTTAATCAAACTCTTGTTAACTGTACACATTCAGTGATCAAATGACGGTGGTAGTTCACCAACACATTAATTTAAAACATTTTAAATAAATAAGAATACCAAATGAAACGCTTACAAAGAATTTGCTCAGAGAATCCCCGAGCTCCCGCCAAGGTGTCTTCATGAGGCATTCCACTATAGCCTCCGAGGAGTTCGTGGGACAATTCATGAATTCCGCTTGTTTCACCGCCAGATGCCGCTGATGCGTTACCAGGCGGCCCTTGTTAGGGGATCCACTCATTGAAATTCCTCGGTGGAATAATCCTGGGTCAAAGAGTTTGAAACTTTAGCACTGAAGATTGTCTAGATTTATTTGATTTTCAAAGTGACATGAATGCCTGAATATTTTACAAACCTTTAGACATGGGCGAGATCATATGCAGTAGTACGCTAATAGAACCAGCACTGCATCCCGCAATGGTCACCATGTTTGGATCACCACCGAATGCGGCAATATTGCGCTGGACCCACTTAAGAGCAGCTACTTGATCCTTCATACCGTTATTGCCTGGGGCATACTTGTCACCTGTGCTCATCCATCCTGGGAAACAAAACGACATAGATCACCTCCCTGTCTAAGATATTTCTTATGTCTTTTGAGAACGTGCTTCGCCAAATACAAGTACAGTTCTAAGGTAATCACCTATCATGTACCTCTGATCAAAATTTGAACACAAAGATTAATCTACAAGAATCACAGTCCGTGTGGTGACGGATTAAGAATACGGAGTGTCGCCACCCCTAATCATCCTGTGGGTGTCGTAAGAGCCGACTAACTGAGCAAACTACGCAGGACAACAGCACTGCAAAGAGAAGGAAAACTTGACACAAACCCTATAACAACCCAGCCAGCGTGGTATAGTAGGCTAAAACCTCCTTTGTAAGGAGAGGCCTATGTCCAGCAGTGGACTATTAAAGGCTGTTGTTGATGATGATGTGAATCTACAAGAATACTGAATCCAAGAGAGAACAGATGCAGCCGTGCTTCTGGTTCAAAATTCCTATAATTTTCACACACACTGCAAAATAACTAAGTTTCTACCTTTAGAATAAGATAGTTGCAGTATTGTGGACCCCTTTACCAGATGTATTAGTTTTCCATAAAGCCTCACCTAAGGATCCAATCCTGTAGTTGATGGTGACGAGTACTAAGTCTCTGTCTAACAGGTACTCCGGACCTTCGATGTCACTGCGTCCTGTCATCGCGTAGAAACCTCCTGGGTGAATGTAGAAGATCACCGGGAGTAGTTCGGAGCTGAAGAACGAACTCATGATGTAAGATTATCGGGTTAATAGATGAAATATGTTATATTTTTATTTTTCAATAACTTGAAACGAGAACGTGCAATCTAACAGCTATAAAATATTTGTTTACACAATGTAAATACCTAAAGCTTTCGAAAAACTTAAGTTTTCTTATACAACTAAGTATGCAAACAAGTAAACTTTTAGGTAATCAAGCTCAGCAGTCAACGATACGCTATGAAGAGAAACGGTTTTTCCGGAGGAGTTCTGGTGATCTATTTTAGATGCTTACCTATTGTTCTTTGGGGTGGCTGGTGTATATACATTGACGGTTAGACAGTCCTCATCGACGTAGTAGGTAGGTGGTACCGGCAGGGGACAGGCGGGGCCCTCCTCGCTGGCGTCTACGGCATCTTTATACGTAAGTATTGGTTTCGGAGGCTATGAGGAAATTATTCATATTATTATAGTTACAATTTGCTCTTGATATAGTAAATGAGTTTCAGATTCTTTAGGTCCATTTAATCCATTGTCAATTTTATACAAATCAAACATTTGACTGCCTCGGTGGTGTAGTGGTAGCGTATGCGACTGCTGTGTTGAGGTCTCGGGTTCGATTCCCGGATCGGACCAAATGTTTGTATGATCTGCAAGTATTTGTTACGGAGTTTGGGTGTTTTCAATGTATGTTACGTATGTATTTACAAAAAAAGTAGATAAGTATTCTATCAGCCAATCTAACTTTCACAGTACAAGCCTTGCTTAGTTTGAAATTAGATGGCGTTGTGTGTCAGCTGTCCGAAAAACATTATAATTATTCTTTTTCGTGTAGAAACCCCGACGGGATCCTCAGCTCACCGGAGCTGATGGTAAATGGCATATCGGCATCGAACCAACTAAAACCACTCGGTGTTCCATCACATGTGAGTCTATTATAAGGGTATACCCTTGGAAGGAAGTTACTGAGAATAACGGCAGACCTTGGCCGCCATAGGCAGCCACATTATTGAATACAAAATAAACACACTACAGGAAAAAAAAGGTGGTTTCGCTTTCTATACATTAAAACTCTGTATTAAAACAACGGATAAGGAAAAATCTGTTGTTGTCGATGGGTGTTCGAGCTCACCTGGAATCTCAACTCTCCTATCGGCGGTTCGGCATAGCGTATACCTCTATAAGCCTGGAAACGCCTGTTGCGGCGAGTCTCCATCCAGGAGCCTCTGAATGTGCCTGACACACTCTGTGTTACTGGTCCATCATCAGATGGGGTTGCCTCTGTGGTAGAAGTGGGGGGAGATGAAGAGGTTCCTGTAGAAAGAGGACTTTATTATTATCATGACTTACTTGATGGTTTAGTAGTTAGTGACTGCTAAGCCGTAGGTCGTGGGTTCGGTTCCCACCCAGGCCATATAATTGTGTGATGAGCACGATGATTTGTTCTGTGTCTGAGTGTTATTGATCTATAATATGTGTATTTAAAATGTATTTTTGTGAGTTTGTGTTCATATGTTTGTTACTTCTCCAGGTTCAAACAGCTGGATGGACCACTTTTGACAGGTATGGAGGTAGCTGACACCCTGTTTTATACATAGGCTTTTTATCCCGAAAAAATGTGACACCCTGGATTTACACAGGCTTTTTATCCCGAAAAAATGTAATGTTACCGTGGTGTGAGCAAGGAATTGAAGAACTTTTTATGATTCAATGAACAAAATTTCATGCTTCTATACCCAGCGGTTTCAGCGGTGCTTTGAATCAGTGTCAGTTACTTCTTTTATAGATATAGATGACAAAAATTATTCCACAAAACACAAAAAGCTTTATTTCCGTAAAGACTTTTTATACTTTGGAAAACTTTTTACTTACTCTTCCGTACGTGCTAATCGGCCGACATTACTTTTCCCCACACGTTTTTCGTTTTCTGTTCGCTCTTTTAGAAAACAACAGACACACAACATAGAAACAACAAAAAATACTATTTTAACTTGTGTTTTGTTTCTCATGTAAGTGAATATTTATGTTCTAGATGAGAATAAAGATCGTTAAACCATAAACCTCTTACATAATACGTGAGTGGTACATATATGGGGCAGCACCATAGGTCCAGAGCTTGGAGAGGAGAGAGGAGGAGAATTAAAAAAAAAATGAACTAAAGAGAGTTTGAGTTTGACCATACTAACGTAAATATTTTAAGAACATGATGTTGTAGAATGTATTTATTATTTACTGAATAAAAAATAATATTTTAATAAAATTGTTGTGTAAAAGCTGTATGTGACGATGGTGACAAACGGTGTCAAACCCTCTCTGCCTACCCCGGACTGTATGTATAAAGTCAACTTAGCGTTGATAAAATATTTTATTAATATTTGTCCTTGAACTCATATGAGGTTTAAATTGCCAAAGACAACTAAATCAGGACCATAATATAAAATTTTACAACAAAGTTAATAATGAATTGTAAGAAATATTTCTTACCACTTCTTAAAGTTAACTAATTAAAAGAAAACAGACCTTTATGTCCATATTCGTGCGAAAATTTGCGTTTTTCATGATCACTGTAACCAAATGCGCATGCGCATACCGCTACCACTACGAACACCACTCTGAGTAACATGTTGTTGGAAGCCGAGGGAGCTACTATCGTCTCAATTACTTGCGATGGGCTTTATATGATAAATTGTAGGCTTATTCTGAAACACATTTGCACAATAGTAGGTTTTGTCTGTTGGGGTTTTTCTTAAGACGCTTAGTCTTACACTTAAATACCGTCATGTCATTCGTGGCATAATGCGTCAAGATTGAGGGTAAAGTAACGGTTAACTAACCTTTAATGATTATTATTTGAACACGTTGTCAATGCAATTTGAATTAAACAGTAAGTAAAGTGTTTCATATTCCGGCTCTTGGCTCCATCAATAGGCTATTTACCAAGGAAAATCTGACGGAACCTTCAAGTTCAAGGTTCTATTTTCCCTGTATCAAATTCTCTATTTGGTTTAATGTTAAATAACCATTTTTATGTGTAAACTTCATAGCATCAGCAATTTATTTAATACTGGTTTTTTCTCGCGCTTTAAAAAGTATGTTACTCGCTAAAAATGTATCTTTCCATTGTTGATATTGATAAAATCGGTTTAGTGGTTTCCTCGTGAATGCGTAACAAATAAACAAACAAACATACGCACTTCCACATTTATAATATAAGTATGGATTAGCACAGAGCAGGAATCAGCCTAAAAGACAAGCAACAAGATTCCTCTGAAGGGAGAAGTCAGACCGTATGGTTCAGTTGCATCCCGTGCTCCACAGTCCTTAGGAGTGGTCCTAGAACATACACATGTGATACACGGCACGATATATGAAGACTACTTAAGATTTAATTTCGGTCTTCGTATGGTACAGTAACCGCCTCATTTTCCATCTGTTCGCGAACGGTTGTCGAGGACATGGCTTGAGGTGGATCACTGTGTCGCTCAATTTCTTACGGGTCATGGTAACTTTAAGAGCAAGTTGTATTCATTTAAATTAGTCGAGTCACCATTGTGTCAATGCTCAACACCTAACTCTCATTATGAACAATCTGCTCATCATATCCTCTGGGAATGTAGTCTTTGGTATAATGAACGTAATACAATGCTGAATAGCTTGCAGGTGACATCTGGGGCGGTATACTATGGGGATCTTGTGTCAACTAGGGTGAATTTCCGTGCGTTTAGGCGATTCTGCCATACATATTATAGAAATCAAATATAGCTCATGTAGGACCCGTAATATTTTGTGGCCGTGGTGCTTCCCTGTTTAAAAGGGTGTATGCCTATTTTACTTCATTTTGTCTCCCGCTTTGCTAAGGAGGGAAGTGGATTTACTGTATTTCCAACTCCTCCAATTTTCTTCTGATTAATTTCGTTGCGGGTTCCAAGACAGTTTAATTTCTTCCTGGGACTTCCCGAGTGTCATAACTCGGTGTGTTCGTGGGTCACTGCTGTGGATCCTGGTGTACAGGAGTTACAGTGGTGGGCGTGTGGGTGGGATTAGTAACCGCCTCATGTGATATAGGACCGCTTCCCTACTGCAGGTCATCTGGGCTTTGATTTTTTAAGATTTATTAATCCATCCCTTTACTCTACTCTTTTTACTGGTGCTATTTTAAATAATCCCTTGCCAAGCCAGGCAGCTTATCTGCCATAGTGTAGGCACACTATAGCAGATAAACTGCCTGGCTCTGGTCTTATTAAAACTGTGGGTACCTATCCAAAAGTATTTAAAAACAAACCTAATTCATACTTTTCTTTTTATTAAAAATACAACTCTCGCACTAGGAATATATCCTGTATCGCGGCGGACTTCACAAACATACATACGGTCACAAAGAACACCCAGATTCAACAACAATTTGTAGATCGCTTAAACTATTACGCCATCCGTGCAGTCAATTTGTAGAACCCACTTAGTTTGACAATAATATTATTGTTTACACACATAGTAGGTCTTGATAACAGTTTGTAGAATAATTTGTATTTAAAATTAACTTTCCCAAAAGTGTCACCTACTTCAATGCGACTGAAATCAAAATAATCCATAACATTAATATTATAAATGCGAGTGTGTTTGTCTGTCTGTTACCTTTAAACCGCTGAACAGATTTAGATGAAATTTGGTATAGAGATATTTTGAGTCCCGGGAAAAGACATAAGACAGCTTTTATCCCAGAAATCATCCTTAAAGGGAGAAAAAAAGGGGTGGAAGTTTGTATGGGGAATCAATAATTGATGAAGCGATTTAGATTAAATTTGGTATGGAGATAGTTTGATTCTTGAGGAAGGACATACACGCGGGCAAAGCCGCCTGTAGAAGCTAGTTTATAATAACTTGTAATCTTAATCTCTTAATTTTAAACTCTTATCATACACATGGAAGTCCAATTCCAAACTAGGCAGAGCCTTTGCTATTATAACCAGATTGCTTATTATTATAGCCTTTTCATTTCCAAAATGAATAAATTACAAAACAAATATAAAATATAAGGAATTAAAAGTACATATCAAGTGCATACACGAATTAATAAAATATTACAATTGATTTAATGAGTATTATATAACACTAGCTGACCCTGCAAACGTTGTTTTGCTATTTACATTATTTAAAAAATATATATTTTATTTTGAATTTCTTAAAAGCCGTTCTTAGCTGACCTCTACTCGGTGAAAAGAATATTCCTACTAAATTTCAAGTCTTTAGCTCTAATGTTTCCAGAGATTTCGTGATGAGTGACTATATACGTGGAAATATCTTATATATACATAGAGTAGTATAATACATAGCGTCATTTTTACGAGTATTGTATTAATTTAGTTTTTATTATTTTAAATATTTTTTTTAATTTGAAATTACTTTTAAGAAAGAATAGGAAAGAATAAGAATTTTAAGATCAATGATTATTATTCAATATGGACCCCTCAACGGGTAAAGGCCTCCTCCATTTTGCTCCACGTCTGAGTGTCCTTTGCTTTTACCAGACTGCTAATAACTATACTTAATTATTCCCAGATCCATACATTTTACAGATAAATTGCACCCAGACATAAATATTTGTCCTGGGTGGGAATTGAGTCTATGACCTCCTGCTTAGCAGACAGGGTCACTGACAACTGGATCAACAGGCCCGTAAAATGGTGGTTAAATTCAAGTGGTTATTTTCTTAAGTATAAAAACTTCAGAAATCACGTAACATGAACACTAATAAAAGTAATCACAGGAATTAAGAACCTCCTTCTCTTTGAGGTTCTTTAGTTCTCGTGGTTATTGAGTCAAAAGTCGCGGGTTCAATTCCAACCAAGGAATAACAATTGTGTAATTTGTTTTGTGTCTGGGAGTATTCAACTATAATATGAATTTAGTAATTTAAAATAACGTGTATGAGCAGTGAGGCTACCACCGTACAGGCTCTGCCTAGTTTGGGACCAGGCGACCCTGTTAGATATGTGTTACGTTATAATTATTAATAATGTAACAATTTACATAGTTTATTGTATAGTACCTGGATGACTGAGTTTTGCTCGTTTTTTTTTTGGTAAATTTTCTAAAAATGAAACCTAGCTCGATCGATTAATCGCCTCCAAAACCCTCTGCATACTAAATTTCATAAAAATCGTTGGAGCCGTTTCCGAGATTCAGATTTATATACATACATATATATTGTTTCTTTTCTCCTTTTTATATATATATATGCATACAAGTATTGCTCGTTTAAAGGTATTAGAAATGTAAAGTAATTTTTGTTGTATTCCTATCACCAATGTTTGCCGTTATTGCGATTTCATTTACCACCTCCAGTACAAGTTCAGATATCGCGATAAATAAATAAATAAATAAATAAATAAATAAACACAAAAGAGGGATCTCGAAAAGAAGGAGAACAAAAACAAAACAGATGTCGATTAAAAATAAACAGGTAAACATAGATACAGGTTGAAACCTTGGAGCCTTGAACTTTATTGACCCGTACAGCAATCGCTACGCCGAACGAATGTGAAATGACCTTGCACTAGGCCCTCAGTTGACAGCACACGCTGGCAATTTGCCCGGCTTGCAGTCATCGGAGGGGATCTCTCACTATTGGGCGTCATACGCTCAATCGTTGTTTTACCAAGGTCGCATCCTTCTGCGAAGACAGAAGGAGGCGGCGGAGAGGGCCCGGGAGGATGATCTCCACTCGGACCCAATTCGCCGCTGACGAACCGAGCTGCAGAGGCGCGTTTCCCAAAGCCTCATGCCGCCCTAAGTGATGTTGCGGGTGGATGGGACTGGTTTTCCCCTCTACCCGCCATAACGGCCAACCGCGAGGAGGCGGATCCGGATGTCTTAATAACAGCAGTTCCCGGATCCCTCGTATTACAGCCACCCGGTGGGGTCACGGCCCAAGGGGGTTTTCATACCGAAAAAAAAAACCTTAGTTGACTACCTACCGACTTGGGTAAATTGCCACCACCCCAATTCATCCCGTGGGTGTCGTAAGAGCCGACTAAGGGAGCAAACTAAGAAGGACAACAGCACTGCAAAGAGAAGGAAAACTTGAAACAAACCCTATACCAACCCGTCTGGCCAGCGTGGTATAGTAGGCCAAAACCTCCTTTCTAAGGAGAGGCCTATGTCCAGCAGTGGACTAGTATCGGCTGTTGATGATGATGATGATGACAAATATTGTGTGAAAACTGAATAACCTGGCTCAGGAAACAGGATCGCCAGCTACTTAACCAACAGGACCGACAAAGATATCGTCTTCTTTATTTTATTTTCTGTTGTTAAATGTTTCGTTTTACTGCAAAAATTTGTTTTTTTTTCGTGCTGAAACCTGTTATTAATCAAACAAAGAAACAATTGTTTAGCCAATGAATAAGGAAAACATGAGTTTTATGTTAATTTCGACGCCGGCGGGAAAACCCGAACAATTTACACGACTAGACTTTTAAGTGAAATACTCCTAGACCGGTGGGAGAATACATTATGATTTTTAAGACTTGCTATTAAAATTATAATAATCTTGATGCCAACTATAATAAAACAACGGTTCTTTCAATGGCGGTTAAACGACTGACTTTTATTTTCCAAAGTAAACAGTAATACACATTGTAGACACTAGATGGCAGTACGAGTCTCATATTTTAGATATTAACATTTCAACACCAACGAATAGAAAACTAATAATAAATATTTGGTAAAATACTGTGTCGAGGTTAGAATTAGCAAATAAACATTATAAAATTGTTGTTTGGGCCAAGAAAATCACAAAACTCAAATGAATATTTGATCCATAATATAATAAATATTTTGGATTAAATATTTATTTTAGTTTTATGAAATTCTAATTCCAATTTGGTGGCCAGATAATGTCCATGTCCCAGTGGTGTATATCCTTCTGTGAGCAAGTTATGCTTCCGAAAGAGATGGTGGAGTGGTACCAGGAGAGGTTCAGAACTTTATTTCTGTATATTCAGATATTTTTACAAGTCGGACTGTACAAATAGAAGGCGCCGGCATTTCCTAAGACTCACTCTGGGAAGGTGATCAAACCACAGAGGTGATGATTATGATGGTGCCTTTTCTAAATAATATTCCTTAAGGAAGTTTTTGTTTAATTGCAGGAGGAAAATTTCAAATTTAGGTATTTTAAACAGATCTCAGTATACTTTATTAAATATTTCCTGTTTTGTTACCGTGAGTCAATAAACAACACCAGCTACTGTTGAATGAGTCACTTTGTTACGTTGTTACTTTGTTATTGGAGGACGCGTCGTAGTCATTTGTTGTATAATATTTTGAAGTTTATCTAATCCTCGGGTTTAGAGAACAAATTGTCTTTGATGTGATTTTTAACCTCTCTGGGGGAGATTTAACAGCAGATAAACAAATTGGGGTACCCCAATTCAAAAAAGGAAAAAAGGATCGGCCAGCTGACATTTATATATATATATACCTCACACATCTCACACACGGCCGTCTGATCCCAAACTAGGCAGAGCCTGTGCTATGGTAACCAGACTGCAGATAAACATACTTATATATTTTTAAATACATACATATTATAGATAAATTACACCCAGACACAGAACAAATGATCGTGCTCATCACACAATATTTGTCCTGGGTAGGAATCGAACCCACGACCTCCGGCTTAGCAGTCAGGGTCACTAACCACTAGACCAACAGGCCCGCCAATTTTGGTATCATTGTGTAGTATTTTCGTGAAAATAAAAGTACGAGTGTATATGTTGTATATATTTTTATTATGAATATTATTTTTAAACTTAAATTAATTATATAAACAACTAGCTGAGACCCGCGGTGTTACCCGCGTTTGTTGTTATAACCGCGGGCAAAGCCGCGGGGCGAAGCTAGTCTAAACAAAGTAGCCTAAGTTACTCCTTATGTCATCAGCTATCTGCCAGTGAAAGTCCCGTTGAAATCGGTCCAGCCGTTCCAGAGATTACCCGGAACAAACAGACAGACAGACAAAAATTGTAAAAAAATATATTTTGGCATATGTACCGTGTAAACATACATATGCATTTAGTAAAAAGCGGTTGTTTTAATATTATAAACAGACACTCCAATTTTATTTATTTGTATAGAAGATAAGGATTACACTCCAAAGATATGAAAAAGGTTCTATTTATTTGTACACTTCTCATAGTCTATGGGATATAATTCCTCCCAGACTTTGAACCTGTCTTCAAACAGGTTCTGGTGGACGGAGAACTCCTTGTCGATACGAACGTAATTGGTCTGCTTTGGTGTAAAGGCTGGCCAGTGTAGGGACGACAGCTCTGGAGTGTCTGGCATAGGTTTCGGGTCACTGTAGACAAGAAAGGTAATAAATCAAGTGGCGAAAACGTAATAAATCTTAGGTGTTTTAAGTATTTCACCAGGGACATCCTTTCTAGGGTATACCTGGTTCCCCGGCTATTAGTACCCGGCGAAGGCGTGCGGTTTTAGTCGGTTCGCGTCCGACATGCCACCGATGGTGGTATCCGAGGGGATTTCCGCACGGAAAAAAAAAAAAAAAAAAAAAAAACTGAAAAAAAAAAGTCTGGTCTACAGCGCTTTTCAGATAATCTTATAGGATTTTTCTGGTATGAAAAATAGCATAAGTTACTCCTTAAATAAACAGCCACCTGGTTGTACAATATGATTAAAATCGGTTGAGCCGTTTTGAGGTTTACCCGGCACAAACAGACAGACAGACAAAAAAAAATATTAAACTGGTGAATTGTTTTCTATGTATCCATTGGTTTTAAGAAAAGGCCTTAGACACAATCGTGTGTGACAATTCAAATCTCATCTGTAAGATCCAAATTCACCATACAAACGCGAATTGTCTTATGCACTGTAACTTATCTCTGATTTATATAAGTGAGGATTTGTTATTGGCTATCTGTTTTCTTGACTGTTTTTATTGTAATCATCATAGCTGTAAATCCTCCATAGTTGTAATAAATAAATAAATAAATAAATAAATAAATAAAACTTTTTTTCATGCCTACATAAATATAATAACGAACAGCACTTTTTAACTGCACGAATGGCGTAATGGTTTAAGCGGTCGTCACACCGCTTCCAACTCCGCTGAGTGTTCGAGCCCCACATGGGAAGACACTTTGTGTAATCCAGAAATTGTTTTTCTGAGTCTGGGTGTTCTTTGTATCCGTTTCATGTATGTTTGTAATATTCCCAGCAACACAGGATATATTCCTAATGCGGAAGTCGTCTTTAAAAAAAAACTTACCCATATCTCATAAAGTTATAAAACATGGCAGTCATCTTGTCCACCATCAGCGAGTCTGGTGAGTCGGACACTGGGATCGAGGGGAAGCTGACGCTCACGTTGAATAGGTAGAGGAGGTCATCGTGGTGGGCAGCTCCTGTTATAGCATGAACTAATTACTGACAAATACATAGATTAGACTGCAAAGAGAAGATAAACTACAGTTGAAGCGAAGGTATTTAAGGAAGGGTTGAGAGTTGTATCGAAAGTTTGAATGCGTAAATAAGACTCGCTCTAGTATCCAACTCGTTTTGTTTAATTTCATTACGTTATTCGTGTATTAGGTAACAAAGAGATCGTTTGGCAGGAATTTAAATTGTGTCCGAACAGACAAAACAGTTCCCTGCATTCAAGTTTACCATCCTCAATTCTTCTTTAAACTTCGACCAAAATTAATTAAGAGAGAAAGAGGAAGGGTACATCCAGTTGCTTGCTAATTTATAGCAGATTTATCAAGTGTCAATTTTGATTTCATCGTGTTTGACCTGGATTCTCGCAACAGATAGATATTTAAATTGCATTCCTATATCGTCCTGGTGTTGGTGTTAAAAGTATTATGTGTTTAGAATGTGCGGTTCGTTACCTGTTGGTTTCTTAGTGGTAGGATCCACGTAGTGGCTGTTGCTGCCGATGTAGCCGAACTCGTAGTAGTACACCGGTTGTGCAGAATGGCGCGCCATGAGGTTAGCCAACCTGGCCAATCAGACATAACATCACTTAGTCACTGATACACGGAACTAAAGTAAGCGACATTTCATCACATCATCATAATCAACAGCCTTTAATAGTCTACTGCTGGACATAGGCCTATCCTTAGAAAAGAGGTTTTGGCCTACTATACCACGCTGGCAAGACAGGTTGGTATAGGGTTTGTGTCAAGTTTTCCTTTTCTTTGCAGTGCTGTTGTCCTACATAGTTTGCTTAGACCTAGTCTAAAAGACAACAATCAGACCCTTTAGTCTGACCCTGAAACTGACGACGAAAAAGATGGAAAAGTCTTTGGATGTCGATTATGGCGTAAAACGCAGGATCGATGAAGGCCATTGGACAAACTGACGACTTGCTTGCACAACTGGATCTAATGAATTTTCTCTTTTTCTCCCTTGTATTTCCCGACCTTACCTATTTTGCATAACACCGTCATCATCAACAGCCTTTAATAGTCAACTTCTGGACATAGGCCTCCCCTTAGAAAGGAGGTTTTGGCCTACTATACCACGCTGGCCAGACGGGTTGGTATAGGGTTTGTTTCAAGTTTTCCTTCTTTCTGCAGTGTTGTTGTCCTGCGCAGGCATAACACCGTACGATACAATAATTCAACTCTTACCTGTGAACTCCAAATCCAATAATCGAATCGGAGTATAACTTCCCCAGTTCTGAAGCTGTCTTATTGGATATGTCCTTGCCGCCCAGGTACTCCTGCTTAAGCCTGTCAGCCTGAGAGTCAGTATTGCCAGACAGGTAGAAGGATATCGGAGCGATGCGGTGCCAAGAATCATGCATTTGTTTGTAGAGGGTTTCATTGTTTAATAGATCTAGAAAATAATAGTATTGTTATTATGGCATTTTGAAGTAGATGTCGGAAATTAAGGCAGTATTTTAGCCTTGAATGAAGCAAACAGTATTAGGTTTGAACCCACAACACTCGGTGTAGTAGGTAACGGCGTGGCGACCGCTTAAACCACTACGCCATCCGTGCAGTCGTATATAAACGTGTATTGCAAATGTAGCCAGTTCATGTCAATCTCTCAATAGTCTCTTCAGTATAACTGATATTTCAAGCTACTACAGTTTCAGTCCCGTTTCCCATTGGAGACTTCCACTATCCTTTACCCTAAGTCCTTCATCCTATCTTTAACCTAATTAATCTTACCCCTCAGGAACATTGGAAAATGGGCAGAAAGACGACGATGATGATGGTATGTGGCCTTTAGCCTAGGCCTTCTTTAGTGAAACCAACAGCACAATAGATAACAAGCAGAGTCCTCATAGATAGCAAGTAGCTCAGAGCACTTAGCTCAGAACATCCTTATTTGTTTTAGAAGTTCATCATCCACCCACAAGTTAGCAGTTCTAATCTAACATGCACAAAGACAACTAATTATTACAGAAAATCTTTTTATAATGGAATTTGGACAAGGTAACTTACTGAAAGCCTTCCAGAAGAACTCATCTTGGGTCTGACTAACAATGAAAGGGACTGGCTGCAAGTCTCCGTTGCAGAACGAATCACGTGGCTGGTTCGCTAAGAACCTCTCCTGTCCAAAGTCTTCTTCTTGAATCGGCATCCACAGAAGGACAGGATCGTAACCAAACTCCTGCATATAATCAGTACATTACTAATAATAGTATGCAGCTAAAAAAGCAGAATTTTTTTTTTGGCTTAAACGCGAATATATATTGATCCTCAGATCTTTTCAATTCTCAGAGTTTTTTCAATATAATGGCTTAATTTTTCACAAGAGTTCTATTATGATAAAATATCACACAAGCGACAGTGTTTGTAATACTCGTACTACAGGGAATCAGCTCATAGCCCACAAAACCTTCGATTATCATATAATAATAATAATATAGCCGAAGCTTTAGATCTTTCAGTAGGCCTTATGTAGCAGATGTTAGGTATGTAACAGGTTAACAGTAAGAAAATCGAGAAAATCGAAGATCAGGTTCAGCATTCACAAGCCTTAGCAGCTGAACCTGATAACTAAGACAGAATAACCGCAACGTCGACTAACATATAAAACTTTTGACCCTCGTACTCACAAACATACGGTCCAGGGAATCTCCTAATTCCTTAGAGGTCTTCGTTTTGAGGCAGTCTATCATTGCCTTTGAACTTTCCGTTGGACAGCTTAGTAGCTTTGCTTGTCTGACTGCCAGGTGGCGCTGGTGTCGAGGGATTACAATCTGAGAAATTGGGGAGCCGCTCATCGAAATCGCTCGGTGGAAGAGACCTGCAAGAGATAAAGTATTAAATGTGTTCACAAAAGTTATGTTTTGGAAAAAACTGTATTAACGCCTTTGGAGCATGTCATATCGGATGATCAGATACTGGTTTGACTTAACATACCTTTAGACATAGGCGAGACCATATGCAGCATGACACTGAATGAGCCTGCGCTGTAACCTGCTATGGTCACTAGGTTAGGATCCCCACCAAACGCTGCAATGTTCTTCTGCACCCATTTAAGAGCCACAACTTGATCTTTGAAGCCATTGTTCCCAGGAACTGTACTGTCACCTGTGCTTATGAAACCTTGTGGAAGAAGAAGGCTGTGATAAACAAGTGAAGTGAAATAAAAGTATACTACATTTGAGCTTCTTTCAGAGGTCCATGACTTGTTTGAAAAGTTACATGAAGAATGCGTGTGGAAGCTGTGATCTTGGCTCTCCAATCTCAGATATACATATACCATAGTACATATTCCTTGCCTGATTTACTGACTGATTCATCAATGCAGAGCCTAAACCATTGGTGCTAAAACTTGAAATTTTTGCACCTGATGGTTTTTGTGTTGTAAGCACCCACTAAGGAAAGATTTTTGGAAATTTACCCTAAAGGGCGTAAAATAAGGGAGAAATACGAAATAAGACAGAATCACGTTTACGTAGTGTTATATAATATTGAAGTTTTAGTAACTTTAATTCAACAAAACCTGTTTTATTGTGTAGTTTTAGGAGTTTTTGGTTTATGAAGTGATTGTTTTCGGAATATAACTATTGTATTACAAAAGAAATGAGAAGAATTATCTTGGTACTCACCAAGAGATCCCAGCCTGTAGTTAATAGTGACCAGTACGATGTCTCTGTCGAGTAAGTACTGAGGTCCGGCAATATCGCTTCGTCCCGATACCGAGTAGAAGCCACCGGCGTGGATGAACACCAACACGGGCAACTTTTTTTTGCTGCGCAAACAATTGAGCAGAATTATAAATGATCGATAGTTCACCTTAGCTATGATATATTTTTAATGTTTTGGAACGAAGTTCCTTATCGCGCGTTGTGAAAGGGGGATAGACGGAAAAAAAATTCACGAAAAGTTGTAACGACACTTTTTATTTTGAATTGTCACTTGTCAGTCATTCAGCGCCATCTATCGAATAGATAGGAAATCATTACTTTTCATCTCAGTAAATATGTTCTTAGGTTGAACAAAAAATTTTGTATTCGACATCATTTCTCAAGGAGATTTTACCAATGTATAAATTGTTTTAATTAGAAACCAACTGAAAAATATGTAGGTAATAGCCGCTTTCATAGATGGCGTTGTAATTAAAATCGTGTCGAATCAGTTTTACTCGATCGTCACAACTTCGTTCCTATCGGGTGTCCCACGACATCACACGGCTTTTTTACTTTTAAATTAAATCTTCTTTTAAAGTTTCTAAACGAGGAAAAAGAAATGTTATATAAGATGTTTATTATATATAGAGAATAAAATAACTGACAGTCCTTCATTAAGTGTGCAGTGAATTCCTTGTTATCACTAAATCTTGAGACATATTTTTCACCGACTTCAAAAAGATAGAGCTTCCCACCCGCAAATTAGGAGGGAGAGGCAGGGTTGGTCTGTGAGTCGGCCCACATGCCGAGGTGTGGACCTCCCACGCTTAGCTATATTATAGCCATCATTCTTGACTTGAATAAAAGCTAATATATCTTAATCAAATCATGGGTTTTTCTGAACCACTAATCATTCTTTAATTGAACGATTTACAACTGGACCAACTGACTGTGGTATTAATTGTTTTTGAAGTGACTAAACTATATAAATAGGGAAACACAAATGTTATGTCGACTTGAGTCCGTAATAATTACTTTCCGTGTGGTGACGGATTAAGAATACGTACGTACGTACTCGTCGTAAGAGCCGACTAAAGGAGAAAACTCCGCAGAACAACAGCACTGCAGAGAGAAGAAAAACTTGACACAAACCGTATACCAACCCAGCGTCAGCGGGTTATAGTAGGCCAAAACCTCTTTTCTAAGGATGTCCAGCAGTGGACTATTAAACGCTGTTGATCATGATGTGAATTACCGTCACTTCAGTTATTTTGCCAAAAAACCAACCAAACCATAGAAAACTATTTTTTAAAGTATCATCAACAGCCTTTAATAGTCTACTGCTAGATTTAGGGCTCCCCTTAGAAAAGAGGTTTTGGTCTACTATACGCCGCTGTCCAGACAGGTTGGTGTAGGGTTTGTTTCATGTTTTCCTTCCCTTTGCAATGCTATTGTCATGCGTATTTGCTTACACCAATGGGATAAATAGGGGCGGTGATACTCTGTATTCTGAATCCGTCACCACATACAAAATTTTCTAATCGCCAAAGGAATTTTTGCTTCATGTGATGGCGTTAAATTTTATGCGATCTGCAGTAATGACAACACACAATTCAAAACAGGTTCGATGCACACAAAACACGATTCGATACCGTTATCGAAACCTGTCTTAAGAAAATCTACAGACATTTGTGCGATCTTAATTAGTAACATAAAGCTCTGTCTGCCTAGTGTGAGTTTATATCACCTCTACTCGGTCATGACCCGTACTGAAATCTTCACCAATCGCAACGCTAATCGCGCTCGCCGTCGAAAGCAAGTAGATGGGAAATGAACTCACACTAGGCCCTCTGAAAACAACCGCAGAAAGCATTACCGTTAGTATTTCTTTCAAGCGATGGAGGTATTACAAAGAGATTCCTTACTTGTCAGGAGTATACACGTTAAGGCGCAAGCAGTCCTCGTCTACGGGGTAGTTGTCGAAGACAGGCTGCGGGCAAGCTGGCCCATCGCTAGTACCGTCCACTTCGCTTTTGTAGCGCTCGATGGACACCGGTGGCTGGAAATAAAATAGATAGATAAAGATATGTATATACCAGCTCTTCTCTTACTCTATTCTCGATTTTTTGGGTCTACCCAATGAGTTTTCGTTTTCCATTTTTCTCCATCCTTTGTCAGTTTACGGCTTACTGTCTTTCTAGCCATGTCCTTCACGCAGTTCATCGATCTTTTCTTTTGTCGTTCGACTATTATTAACCAACTTCGGTTTCATGTAGAACAGCAGGTCTGATAATATCGTCCTTATATTTGTTCTTTTAGTCTGATGGGGACCTTTGATTATATTATACACATAGTCATGTTGTTCCTGTCATTACGATCGGTGACTCAATATTTACCTGGAACCTGAGTTCTCCGACGGGTGCCTGAGCGTACCGCAGCCCTCTGTATGCCTGGATGCGTCTGCCTCGACGTGATACCAGCCACGATCCTCTGAAAATGCCTGATTCGCCATAAATCACTGGCACGTTTACCGTGTCCGGCGCTAAGGGAAAGAGAAAAAAGTTTGAAATATTAAATTTTAGTTCTTTGTTGAATAATTGTACGATTGCCGGAAGGAAACAAGTAAAAATTACTATTCCAAACCAAGTTTTATAATGTTTATATAAAATAAATGTATTTTGTGTTTAGTTTTAGGTATCATTATTAATAATAATAATAATACGGGTCGTATAGTGAGGAGGTTCCTATCTTTGGAGTCCTAACCACCGGTGTCTTAGTCCCTGTACCCGATGTCGGTGGTCTAATATTTTTATATTTTAAATGTATTTTTTTCTTTTGTAATATATTTAAAAATGTAATCAATATGTATATATAATTTAATAAAGAGAATAATAATAATATTTAGGTCATATGACACACAACGCCATCTAGTTTCAAACCAAGCAGAGCTTGTACTATGAAAACTAGATGGACTTATAGAATACTTATATACTTTTTTTTGTAAATACATACACAAGATACGTAGAAAACACAAAAACTCCGAAACAAATATTTGCCGAGCATACAAACATTTGTTCCGACCCGGGAATCGAACCCGAGACCTCAGCACAGCGGTCGCATACGCTACCACTGCACCACCTAGGCACTTAATAATATTGACCGCAACTTTTATTTATTATTAAATTTTAGTTTTTATTATAGGTCATACATCTTTTACTTAATCAAAACTATATGAAAGTTTTCTTCTTCATAAGTGAATTTTTCGAAGGTAATTTATGGAAAATCCTACATCCCACATTTTCTGGAGCAATTCGTGATCATCACCTGTAGTGCCGTGATTGTTATTGCGATGACGCCGGGCGTCGACTCCCGCGCACGCGGCCGCAGCACATAACACTAGCGTAAACAACATGATGCTCACGCACATAACGTACGACTAGTAAAGTACTGAGATGCGACACTGTTTATATACTAGAAGATAAATGTAATTGGATTATTCTCATACTGTATATGTTTTATTTTTACTAGTGTGTCTCTCTGTCGGCAAGCGGCTAAACGGATTGACAATTTTTACTATAGTATTAGAAATATCAATTATGAAAATCTGTTGAGGATCATCTGTAATCTTCTATTCCTGTTCTTTCCTAATCTATTTTTTATGGTATAAGGGGGCAAACGAGCAGACGGGTCACAAAGTGCAATTCAAAAGTCACAAGTGCGTTGCTGCCCTTGGAGTCTCTCCCTCCGCTCGTGTCACCGGGGGATTTGGGTTCCGGTAACCTCACTCATTCAGTGAAAGGCAACGAAAAAATTGCTTAACACCAGTTTTCTGTGAGTCCGTGGTATCACTCCGGTCGAGCCGGCCCATTCGTGCCAAAGCATGGCTCTCCCACGGTACTATTATTACTTTTAATAATGCATATTTCTTGTTTCTTAACAAGAAGTATAAAATTATCGTAATAAAAGTTCGGTCAGTAAAGTATTACTAAGACTACCAGATTACCGATTCAATTGTCGGTTACAATACGATATATTCACATTACAGTTAACGTTGGATGTCTAATACATCATCATCATCAACAGCCTTTACCAGTCCACTGCTGGACATAGGCCTCTTCTTAGAAAGGAGGTTTTGGCCTACTATACCCCACTGGCCAGACGGGTTGGTATAGGGTTTGTGTCAAGTTTTCCTTCTCTCTGCAGTGCTGTTGTCTTGTTGGTTTAGTCCTGTCAGACAAACAGTCTATTAATACAATATTGAAATAGCAGAATTGAGGCCCTAAAGTATTGTGGGTCACCCCGCGTTATCCATGTCTGATTACACGCCGGAGTGAAAACAAGATAATGCATTTTAATGCAGTTTAATACTTTACTACGAAAATACCTTTTATGACAGTTGTGAGATCGAGAGTTGATAAAAACTGAATTATTACGAGATTTGGCCTTCAGGTTATGGTATCGATATGGTCGAGCCGGTGCATACCTTTGTGCGAAGTATGGCTTTCTCGTTCTTTTCGGCCATGCTCTAATATACTCAATATTGAAAATGGGAATAAAATACCTATCATCATCATCATCATCAACAGCCTTTAATAGTCCACTGCTGGACATAGGCCTCTCCTAGGAAAGGAGGTTTTGGCCTACTATACCACGCTGGCCAGACGGGTTGGTATAGGATTTGTGTCAAGCTTTCCTTCTTTCTGCAGTGCTGTTGTTCTGCGTAGTTTTCACCCTTAGTCGGCTCTTACATTGATAATACATTGCATCTGTCTACTAATTATAAGTTTAATTAATTAGTGTTTTTTTAAATAAATACTTACATAAGACAACAAAAGACTTGTTTTCGTAAACAAACGAAAGTTAAAACTATTGTTTTAACTTTCGTTTGTTTATGAAAACAAGTCTTGAGTTCTTAGAATTATATGAATGGTATTCCATTTATATAATTCTAGGAACTTCTTGTACTTTAAGGAAAATGTCGGGGGTTCCCAGACAAGTCACACAACCTTGGAGCGTAATATATGGGCATACATACGACCAGGCCTCAATTCTGCTATTTTATGTTCACGCCAAGCCACTGTCATTCCATTGACGCGCTATTGAGACGCCATTGACATCGGTCAAAATATCAGTATTCTACTAACATAAATTCACAGTGTCAATAGACTGTCGATATAGTAATATAGGTCATCAATGGTGATACCAACAACATTGCCATACCTGGAAAATTAAATTTATCATTTTTTTACAAATTTAAAATGTACCGTTTACCAAACTATTACAAAATCATCGACGACATTTGTATCAGTGACAAGTAATTGGGAGGCCATTGGTCTTACATAGTTAGTAGAATAGGAAAAGTGCAAAACTATTCCGACGACATTCCATCGACAGTCTATTGAGACAATATTAAAATAGCAGAATTGAGGCCCTGAAGTATTCACCCCGCGTTATCCATGTCCGATTACACTCCGGAGTGAAAACAAGATTATGATTAATTCATTATTATCACTGCTTTGTTAGACAAAATGATAACATAACAAGGGCCAATCTGAATTATTTAGAAATAAAGTTCACTACATTTTTTCTCTCGAATTCAATTCAATTCAAATAGTTTATTTCAGACATAGTCCATAGGGTTAGTACAAACAAAGTAACTTAAGGACTGATGTTATTAATACACAATCATGATTTCGAAGTTTAGGCATTAGTAGTAGAGTAAAGTTTATTTTATTTGAGTTTTTATTAACTTAAGAATTAAAAACTTAAGAAACTCTGGAATTGAATATCCCTTTACCAATTAGAAATGAGCTGATATTTTTTGGACAATTAAACACTTTTTTGTACTTACGTATTCCCAAATCCTAGTTGGTCCATTCATTTCAATCATTCTGTCAGACACCCTAAGCTCCGTGGCATGACATTAAACTTTTAAAAAGCGAAATTATTAACAGAGAACTTAATTTCTTTTTGGAACGAAGTTCCTTATCGCGCGTTGTGAAAGGGGGCTAGACGGAAAAAGTTCATACAAAAATTTGGGACGCGACACTTTTTTATTAATATAAATTGACTGAATTTGATGATAGTATGAGTATAAGATGACACGAAAAAATATTATTACTAATCATAGTTATTAGTAATAATATTTTTTCGTGTCATCTTGTCAGACATTCAGCGCCTCTATCGAATAGATAGGAAATCATTTCGCAAGGAGATTTTACCAATGTATAAATTGGTTTAATTGTTTTTAACATGTAGGTAATAGCCGCTTTCATAGATGGCGTTGTAATTAATATCGTGTCAAATCAGTTTTAACTTTAAACAACTTCGTTCCTATCGGGTGTCCCACGACACCACACGGCTTTTTAATAATATCTAGATGTAAAATAGCAAAAAGGGAGATGGGAGTCTCACAAATCTGATAAGCTGTGACAAGGACGGGGATGGAGTTCAAGAAACCATAAAATTTGTGTGACGTAATTTATAAATTGGGACTAATGATAAAATATATTGGAAAGAAAATTATTTCTCATCTCCTTCTTTGGTGCATGATGCATCATTTTCTGAAGTTGATGCTTAAACAGTTAAAGAAAAACGAATGGGCAAATGACATGTCGTTGAATAACGGGTTATCTTATCGTTATCAGTCATTATCTTCAGGGATCTTCGGAAAAGATAAAAATGATTGGTACAGATAAGTGTGAATGCAAGAAAATCATTAGTAATTTTCTCTTAATGCAAATATTACGAAGGAAATAAATTAATAAAAAAAATAGTTAAAAAAAAACTAAAAAACACGCTTTTTATAGAAAACCAAAAAAGGTTTTTTTTTTAATAAATTTGAAAAAAAGCGTTGGGTGCCTGTTGTCAATAGTAAAAAGCACCCCACGCTTTTTTCAAATTTATTTTCTATTTTTTAGTTTGGTTTTTTATTTATTTTTTATTTTATTTTTTAATTTTAAATTAGTGTATTGTCATCGGTTTTCGATATATCTACAAAGTTTGAACGAATTCTGACCGTTTAAAGTCAGTCAAAATCACGCCCAAAGGAGTCGGTTACAAACATACAAACATACAAGTGAAGCTAATATAAAGCGTGTAAAAACAATCTCACTTTCACATTTACATATAATAATAAAAATAATTTAATAATAATTTTAATAATAATTTATTTATTTGACCAATATAAATATTACAGTGTAGGACATTTCAGTTTAACATAGATCTTAGACAATAATTAGACTAAGTTACACTAGCGTAAATCTATAGTAGTGTTATTTTATGATTAGATTTCATAAAGATATTACGATTTTGTTTAAAAACTTTAGTCGCTGACTGCCTGAACTAGGGTAAACCTGTGTTTCAGGCGATCGCTTGACATGGAATTTTTAAAGTAGAAATGTAAGATAAACATAACAGATCACTAGCAAATATAAAAAATACTACAAAGTGTACACGTACGAAAGCAAAAATAGAAAATAATATTATACAAAAACTATTTAAGACTCATTTAACAATTGCCAATACATTTTCTGTGTCTGCATAGTTAAATTAATCTAAATATTCTGATAACATGTTCACACATTTTTTATTATTGAGGCTGTATATATTTAGTATTCTATTAATTTTATTGTATAAAAAAGGTCCTAAAAATAAATAAAATCTATGAACAAATGTATGACTAGCTTGAGGCCTGCTACACACTATGTCCTTCCTTCTCTTATTTGATGGTATGGGGTTATAGGGAAGTTCAGTATGCTGTTTTAGAATACTGTGCAATATAAATAACTGTCGGACTGTTAGTACATTACATGCAATGTAAAGCTCGTGTGTGGGAAATATGTATGGGCGGAATGTCGCCACCTTAAGAATGGCTCTTTGAGCGCGCTCTAAAGGCAGTAATATTGACTTTGCTGCACCACCCCATGAAGTAATGCAATAAGTAAGTATTGATTGACACAACGATAAATAGACTTGCCTTAATAATGTGTAATCGGCTACACTGCGAATACTCTTAAATATATATATTAATTTTCGTACCCTTGTACATAATAAGTCAACGTGTTTACGGAAATTCAAATGTTGGTCAAGGATGACACCTAGATATTTCACTTCATCGGAGTTTGCTAAAGCAGGGCAGGTACACGCAAAGTCAGCAGATACTTTGCAGCTATGTGCGTATATCTTTGGACTAATTATAGATATGTTTGTATCCCTCATTGAAAATATAATGTATTTGGTTTTATCTGTATTTAGGGTCAGTAGATTTTTATATAGCCAGTTAGTCACTATGTTAAAGCCTGTCTGAGCGAGCTCAAAAACTTCATTACGAGATTTCGCTGTAAATAATAAAACCGTGTCATCCGCATAAGATATTATGACACCACTTGGTATCTTCAGGCTGCAGAGGTC